CTCTGAAACAATGAGCCCTCAAATAAACTATTCCTCCTCTACAGTTGTGCTAGTTGAGTCATTTAGTCACTGTTGAAGGCCGGCTGGCTGCAAAATAACGGAGGGGGGGTTGTAACGAACAACTTGTGTACGTTGATACAGCAGGAGTAGGAGCCATTTATTGTAGGACAACAGAGGTATTTATACATTCCACACAGCTTATCTTAATTAGCATAAACTAGATACATCAGTCAACCAATAAGGAATCTCCACACTTAATGGCTCTCTGGCGTTACTTCACAAACCACTCCCTCTGGCATTTTGCCAGGCGCCATCCAGACTTGTTTACACACTTTAACATTAACCACTCCCTCTGGCAAAATGCCAGGCGCCATCCAGACTTGTTTACAGACTCTAACATTTGCCAGGCGCCATCCTGACTTGTTTACAGACCCTAACAGTCACAGCTGCCAAAAAGCTGACTAAAACAGAAATTGGTACCAGGAGTGGGGTCATTGCTGTGATTAACCTGACCTTGTGATTCAGAAGCTTTTTCAGCATTTTGTATTGATGGGAGGAATTTTGAGATATGTAGCAGTGCAAGCTGGAAATGCTTTAGATTGTTGTAAGTGGAGATTAATGGCTGACTCTGGTGGGAGCTCAGAAGATCTGAATGGCAATAGAACCATGGTCAATGAAGACAGGGTTCAAGAGGGTTCAGAAAAGGAGGACTCTTGGAATTTGGGGTAGAGGCTGTTCATGTTATATTCTGGCTGAGAAGTTGTCTGCATTTTGCCCATGTCCTGAGACTTTCTGTGAGGCTGATTTTAAAAGTGATTGACTTCTTAATCTGGAGGAAGAACTGTCTAGGCAGCATAGTATTCAGGAATTGGCATGGATATTGCTGGTAGCTTTTTTTTTTTTTTTCCAATTAGCAATAATTTCACCTCAGAGAAACCTCATTGGCTGCCACTGCACAAAGCTTGCTGACAGCATTTAGCCAAATTTATTGTGAAAATCAAGAGCAGAAAGCAGAGCAGAAATATTCAAAAAACTTGAACTTGAAAGGCTGGAATAAAACGGGCTAAGGAAGTTGCAGTTGTTAAAGACATTACTGCCACAAAAAAATGCTAAAGACTTTGTCCAGAGACAATAAGAATAATGGCTTGAGGGCATCTCAGGAACTGGCAAGACCATACCCATCTCTGGTTTAAAGGAGTAAAAGTGAAATTTTCTTGAGAAGACACCAGTGGGGTACCCTTCTTTTTTTTAATATTTATTTTTTAGTTGTAGTTGGACATAATAGCTTTATTTTATTTATTTTTATTTTATGTGGTGCTGAGGATCGAACCCAGGGCATTGCACATGCTAGGCGAGTGCTCTATTACTGAGCCACAACCCCAGCCCCTGGGGTACTCTTCTTGCACAAGGGGGCCTACGAAGTTTTTTCAACATGTTCAGCCACCCAGACACTCAGAGGCTGCTGCAGCCAGTGTCTCTGGAGGCTTGGTTACTACTGAAGATGGCAGCGGACCTTGGCATCAACCATGTGGTGCTGATTCTGCAGGAATGTAGGATGCTGGAGTTAGAATTTCATGGAGACTTCCACCAAGATTTCAAAGGAAGGCCTGGGAGGCCAGGCAAAGTGCAGCAGGGTTGGAATCCCTTTGGGCACTCCCTGAGAAGGTAAGGTGTGGAGATTTGAGGTGGAAGCCTAAACTGCAGTGGAGACACCCAAGGTTAAGAAATGCCAGAACTGTGGAACATTGTCCTAGGAAAGCTGCAGGAGTTGAGCAGAGATAAATCCACAGAAAGGCCACTTGTGCTGCAACCAACAAGGCCACAGGGGTGGATCTACACAAGCTCTTTGGAGAGAACATCACAATGCCATGTGCTGGACATGGAGTTACAGGACTTCTTTGCCCAGCTGGATTTTGGTCTTACTTTGGTCCTATTCCTTCTTTCTAGGTCCATATTTTTATAAATGAAAATGTTTACTCTGTACCTTGAAATATAGGATATTTGTAAATTACTTTTAATTTTACAGGAGTTCACAAGGTGAGATTACCTTGAGCCTCAGAGAAGACTTTGGACTTGAACTTTGAGCAATCTCAGAACTGTTGAGACCATGGAGACTCTGGGGAAGGGACCAAATGTATTTTGCATTGTTAGATAAATGTGAGCTTCGGGGGGCTATGCATGGAATGTTATGGTTTGAATGTGAGATATCCCCAAAAATCTCAAACATAAGACAATGCAAGAAGGTTTGGAGAAGTGACTGGGTTATAGCATTAACCTAATCAGTGGATTGATCTCTGATTGAATTGACTGAGTGGTAAGTGGAGACAGGTGGGGTGCTGCTGAAGGAACGCATTAACTGGGGTCGTGGCAAGTGGAGTCTTTCTCTCTCTGCTTTTTGATCACCATGATGTGAGCTGCGTCCTTCTGCCACACTCTCCCGCCATGATGTTCAGCCTCACCTGACCCCTGAGGAATGGAGCCCGTCTCCTATGGATGAAGACCTCTGAAAGTGTGAGCCCTATAAATAACTCTCCCTCCTCTACAATTGTGCTGGTCGGGTCATTTAGTCACAGCCGCAAAAAAAGCGGACTAAAACGGGAGCATTCATCTAAAAACTGGCAATACAGGCTTATTAGTCCCAATTTACCTAACCTGTCTTTCTCTCTTTTCCCCCTTCAAGACTGAGTCAAGATATTTTTAGAGACTTTTCAACCTCCTATTCCACACACCAAAGTAGTGCCTGCAGAGCCTTGCAGGCAGATCACCCCATGATGAGACTGTCCCTCTCTAAGCAGGAACCCTCATGGGATCCTTTCAAGATCACAACTCAGATAAACATCCTGAGCATCAAATGGAAATTGCCTCCTCAAGTGATAAGGACTTTTCTGGAGCTACCTCATAGAACCAGAATCAAGGTAATGATCAATTAGATCACAGTTTGACCAAGACTGCTTAACTGGGCATACCCCTTAGATTCTGCCCAAGTTCTTCTATTTAAACCTAAAGCTCTTGTCAGCACCCTGAAGACAAGGCTGAGCTGCTAGATGACAATATGACATATTGATTAGAGCAACTTTCCTGCTTTTACCATTACCTTTTCTATTTGTCTTTTTGGGGTGAGCGGCTGGACCTAATTTGTTGGAACCCAAGACTCTGGTAACATAATTGTTTTTTTTTTTTTTTTTGCCCACAAATTTTGTTGCCAAAATTTGGACAGGCCTCAGTGGGATGTTTCATCTCTGCTGTATATACAGTATCAGGGTGATGGCCTGACTGGAAGCCTAGAGCATCTATTTCCAAACTGGCCCATTCAACATAGCTGGGCCTGAAGGCTCGGGGCTTGAGTCCTTGCCACCTGGTGAGAAATGCAGAATTCTTGGCACATAAAGACTCCTGTCAAAATTTGGTACTTAGAGACCACCAAACTCTGGCCTGGCTTCTAGCATCTTAAGGCTAAATCCCTAGAAAGATGCCCCCTCTCAATCCCCATCAAATATCTGCTGCAGAAAGCTCAGCAATGCTAGGAAAATTTACTTTTTATTCCAATCAAAACCTAAACTTAGGTCTCTGGCTTCCCTTTCTTGATATATTTACTACAAAGGACTTAAAACTGAATTCGTCCTCCGTCTCTTTGGGGGTGTATGTGAACCTTTTATAACACAGGAGTTCTTAAGGACCTGAAAGCCCCTGTAATCATCAGGAAGGCTAAGGCCTTCTTCTAGTCTCTGGGGGAAGGATAGCATCCTGATTTTCATAATTAACAGCTAGCAGACCCAGCTGGCCTAATGGTATTAGTACCACCAGCCCCTTGTCAATTTTCACTTGAGCTCTGTTCTCTCCCCCTCTCTACTCCTTTCTCCTCCCTTTTCAATACTTGGTCATCTTTGTACAAATTGGAGTGGAACTCAGCTCTTTCCCCTTACTGTCAGCAGCTACTGAGTAAAATCTGTTTTCCTGCTTTAACTATGTACAGCTTGGTTTATCTTTGATAACAGGTTTTCTCATGTGACCTAGGCTTCTGGTATACAGTGGTATGGTGGATGAATTCAAAACCTAGTGGAGGGGGAGAGGGAGAAAGAAAGAAAATGAACATGTGTCAGCCAGGTGGAAGACCTGATACATTTTATATGTCTGTGCAAATCCAACTCCAAAACTGCTACTAATTTTACTAAAGGTTCATTGTGTCAAAATTGTTCCTAAGATAACATGTTTCATATTTCCACCTCCCTATTTGCAGATTTCTGTTCTTCTCCTTCCTGCCTTTATAGCTTCCATACCCCACCCTTTTGTCCCAGTACTTCTTTCCCTCAGTTTATACTAAACAAAAATAGCAAAACAGCAATGCCTTATAGCTGTTCTCCATGAAAGTGCTTTATACTATACCTAATAATAAAGAGGACTGGCAATTTAAAAACCTTAAGTGGAAAAAACAAGATTGGAAATAAAGTGATTTAAGTCCACTAGGAATGTAAAAATAGAAAATAAAATAATAAAAATTAAAAGGAAATAAAGTTAGACCAATTGGGTGGTTGAGGATAGTACACATAAGTCATAGTGAATGTAAATTTGTCATGTTGGGGAGAGGATGGAGAATTACTGCATTTAAAAAAATCAAATAATTACTTGAAAGGCTCCCATAACACTAAAACATAGGAAAGAAATAGAAATTACAAGCAAGGCTGAGGTTTGAATTTAGGTGATAAGCTCTTCCTGTTACATTTTGGACAAGGACATCCAGATGATAAGGAAGTATATGGATACTGAATCTTCTCCTGTCAATGTTTCTTGTACTTTTTATCTTCAGAACAGCCTTCTGAATGGTCTCACGATGGGAATATACTTAATATACGAAAAAGTAGCATGTATTTCATCCCCAATAAAACAACACAAGCTGATTTTTTCTTCATGGTTTTTGGCCCCCGTGAGCTTCCGGTTTGGACTACATTTCCCAGCGGGCCATGCTCAATACTACGGGTGCCTTCAAGAGGTCAAGCGCCGGTGGCGGCGACGCAGTCGCGGTACGGGCGACTGACGGGCGGGCGCTTTGCTGTTTGAATGGCTACGGGCCCGGGCCCTGGCCCTCACCTCACCTGAGGACCAGCTGTCCAGGGGTGCGCTATGCCGTCCGGTGGCGACCAGTCGCCGCCGCCCCCTCCTCCTCCTCCAGTTGCTGCAGGCTCTGATGAAGAGGAGGAGGACGACGGTGAGGCAGAGGACGCCGCGCAGCCGGCTGGGTCGCCAACCCCTCAGATCCAGCAGCGGTTCGACGAGCTGTGTAGCCGCCTCAACATGGATGAGGCGGCGCGGGCCGAGGCCTGGGACAGCTACCGGAGCATGAGCGAGAGCTACACTCTGGAGGTACGCTCGGGGGAGGAGGCGAGGGGCTTCCTGGGCCTAGTCGGCGCGCCCCGCCGCGGGGATGGGTTGCCTTCCCAGTGGGTGTCGGGCGCCCGGCAGGGACCCCCGGCCGACCCGGGTCTCGGGGCGCCCGGGTCTGCGGCCCCCGGAGAGCGAGTGTTCCTCTTTGCGCACCGTAGTACTGCAAACCGGCGTTTAAAGGGCTCTCGCTGCTCTGGAGGTGAACTCTTTCTCGCCGCTCTTGTGTTTAGGACAGGGTACACCTTTGTCGCCAAAATTGCACAACCAGGTTGAGATGCGCTAGGGTCACGATTACAAAAAAAAAAAAAGGTGGTGGTGGTGGTGGTCTGTGTAATCATCTAACCCCCCACCCACCAAGGTGGTCGAACGAACAGGTGTCGTTGTCCAGACCGTGGGAAGAGTGGGCGAGACTCGTGCTTGTTAGCGCAGCGGTGGGCCGGATCGGAGTGCTCGGGTCTCGAGGCTTCTCCTCCATTTATTTTCAATTTCGGCTCTACCTGATTACCTCTGCCCAGGTGTTGCAGACATTTGAGTCAAGGCGTCGTTAAGTTTCGGGCTGTGTTTATGGACGTGTAAACCAATTAAGGCAACTCTTCCCCCGGCCAAATGAAATGGGCTTTCTGCCTGCCCGGACCTAGACAGACGCCCCCAGTTGTTGCTAGGAATCAGGACGGCGACTACCTTGAGGATCTGGGTGGTTGTCGCCGTGATACGGACGTGTTTTGTCCCTTTCTTCAGACGAGGCTTGCAGAAGAGAAAAATAGCCCTCCTAGCCAGTGGCTGTCAACTCTGTAGGCGCCTCCCCTTCATGGGCCAATGGGAAGTGACACGGAAGTCCGGATTGTTTGTCGGCTGTTTGCCTGTGTGTGTGGCATTCAAACGTGAGGCCGTTCGATTTTCTCGAGTAGTTTTACATGTAGCTCGTGGAAAGAGTAGGGCAGATAGGCTCCAAATACGAAGGCCTGCTACCAAGGTATGATTTAACTGTGACATGCTGCTTTTGCGTATGTGTCTTTCTGTTGACTGCTTAAAAAAAAAAAATCTAATATTAGTAGAATTTCAATGTGATCACTAATTCCCTCGCCCCATTGCTACTTCTACAGAAAAAGGCAGTAATGATGGCTTTAGAACATGACAGATCTAGGTGACTTTGAACAAATTACTTGACCACCGGAAAACTCAATTTTGTTATATGTAAACTAGAGATAAATTTATACCTACCCCACAGAACTGTCTTTAAGGTTAACTAAGATAACGTGTGGCTCATCATGCATACTGCTTAAGAGTTTACTGAAGTATATTGAGGTGATGTGGCTGAAGAGGCTACTTCTCTGGGTGCTTTCCTAGAAGACTTTTTGTTTGTTTGTTTGAAGGACATACATGCCTCCAAACAAGCTCTAATTTTACCCTCAAGATATTTCTATAACTTAGAACAAGCATTGTCACCATACAGTTTAGGTATTGCAACTCATAAAGATTGTCATATTAAATCTAGTGTTACCTTAGCAACAGATGTTAGTGAATTGTTATTATTTTTGGTACTGGGACTTGATCCCAGGACCTTGCAAATGCTAAGCAAGGGGTCTCCTAAAGAGCTTCATCCCTAGCCCCTTTTAAAAACAAACAAACAAAAAAATTGTTTTGAGACTTGGTCTTGCTAAATTGCTCAGTCTGGCCTCAAACTTGAGATCCTTCTGCCTCAACCTCCCCACAGCTGTGTCACCACACCAGGCTTAGTAAATTAATTTTGAAAACATGTTTGATTACTCGATTTTTTTTTTTTTTGATCAGTGAGACTTTAATCTCTTCTTGGCCCAGAGCACCTAATAAATGCATGAATATTTGTTCATGTACCAAATATTTCTTTAGTACCCATTACTACTTGCCACAGTATTCTAGGTGCTAGGAATAAATCAGTGAACAAAACTAAAATTCCCTGCCCTTGTGGAGCTTATAGTCAGATATGCTCAAAGGTAACATGGGATGGGAATCTCAGGTAAATGTACAATGAAAAAATAAAGTTCTGTGATATATTTAATACAGAATACTGGTTATAGAATTTTACCTTTTATTTATTTTTTTTATTTTTTGGTACCAGAAATTGAACCCAGGGTCACTTAACCACTCAGCCATATTCCCAGCCATTTTTTATGTTTTATTTTGAGTCAGATCTTGCTAAGACCTTAGGGCCTCACTAAATTGCAGAAGTTTGTCTCAAACTTGCAATCCTCCTGCCTCTGCCTCGAAAGTCACTGGGATTATAGGCATGTGCCACTGTGCCTGGCTCTTGATTTTTTTATATTTTCTGTGCTTTATTCCTGTGTTTCCCTTTGTTTCTAGGGATTAAATTCAGGGTGCTTTACTACTAAGCTACATCCCCAGCCCTTTTTATTTTTATGTTCTTTAAGTTGCCTAGGCAGCCACAAACTTGTCCTGCTTCAGCCTCATGAGTCACTGGCAGAGCAGCTAAGGATTGAGCTGCTAAGGACTGGCACAGCTGGAGAGCTCCTTGGGCATCTCTCTATATATGACTGACCACATCATATGGTCTCTCCTCAGCATTGTGACTTAAGGTATTCAGACTTCTCACATGTTGGTATAGGACTCCCAAGCACATGTTCTGGAAGATTAAGTGGTATCACTTGAACTTGTGTTATTTGTTGAGGCAGTTAATCAATTTAAGGGGACATAGACTTCTGCCCAGGCTCAAGGTGAGGAAACACTGACCTCCCACCACTCATGGAAGAATGTGTCACATTTTATGAAGAGCATGTGGGACAGTACCATTTTTTGAGAATAAAATGTCCTATAAGCATATAAACTACTCTTTCAATTTAAACATAAGAATTTTTGTATTGAAATATACATAGTTCATTAGCTAAAAATCTACTTTATTTTACAGGGAAATGATCTTCACTGGTTAGCATGTGCCTTATATGTGGCTTGCAGAAAATCTGTTCCAACTGTAAGCAAAGGGACTGTTGAAGGAAATTATGTATCTTTAACAAGAATCCTGCGCTGTTCAGAGCAGAGGTAATTATATTAGTTTGAAGTATAATTAATAAAAAAACTTATAATTCATAGTGATAAAAAGAATTCTGTGTCCATTATTCTCTGAGCATGTGGATTGCTGAATTTAGACACCAGATCATGGTTTTCCTTTACCACTTCAAAGTTAGTATTCATTATATTTTATTAATTTAATGAAAATATTTGCATTATATGTATTAGGCACTTGTGTGGAAGAATTTACTTTTGCAAGTTATTGTGTAAAATGTGGAGAAATCGAAATAAGGATATTAAGAACTTTAGGAGACACTCCAGATTGAAAAGGCAAATAAAATATTAGTCATATGGTATTTTGCTTACAACTATATGTACAGGACTTGTGTCTTAATGTGTATACATGGAACAGATAGTAAAATCAAAGGTGTGTGTTCTCTGACTCTACTTCTTGGGATGGTCCCTAAATAAATTACTAAACACATGAACAAACATGGGTATTACAGCATTTTTGTTATAAAACATTAGAAACAACCTAAATTTCTCTTGGTTAGGGAATGAATGCAAAAAGTCTTGGTGTGTTCATGAGTAGGAATGTTTTTAGCAATTAAATGAATGGATTAAATCTGTTTGTATCAACATTAATGAATTTCATAAGCATTGAGTTGAAAATCAAGTTGCAGAATGCTACTTAATGTATGATTCCTTACATATAAAATATGAAACACATACAAAAGTGCTTAAGTTTATGGATCTACATATTTAGGTAGGAATCAGACTAGCTTCAGTGTGGTTATCTTTCGGGAAGAAGGACTAAGGAGGGGAATTGGACTAAAATGAGGAGTACAAATGGGAATTTTGACTGTTTATGTAGTGTTTTTAGTTATTAAAGAAATATGAAGTAAGCATGGCAAAATTTATTCAATATGTTAGTATTTGTTAATCCTGGAAGTTGGGTAAGTATTTGCTAGTTATGTTACTCTTGTTCATTTTTTTATATTTTAAAATATTTCATAATTTAAAAGGCAAACCTCAGGTAGCCAGATACAATGACACAATCCTGTAATCCCAGTTAGTCAAGAGGATCTCAACTTTCAGACCTGCCTGAGCAATTTAGCAAGACCTTGTTTTAAAACTAAATTGAAAGAGTTTTTTTGGCACCAGGGATTTAACCTAGGGCCACTTAACCATTGAGCCACATCCCCAGCCCTTTTTTATATTTTATTTAGAGACAGGGTCTTGATAAATTGCTGAGGCTGGCTTTGAATTCACAGTCTTCCTGCCTCAACCTACTGAGCTGCTGAGATTACAGGTGTGCACCACTGTACCTGGCTCAAACTAAAAAAAAAAATTTTTAAAGGTGTAGGTATAAAACTCAGTGGCAGAGTGTATGCCTAGTATCCATGAGGCCCTGGGATCAATCCCCAGTACCAAAAACAAACAAACAAACAAACAAAAAATCTCAGGTGTAAGGATCAGAGTAATAAACCAATCTGTATGATATTAAACTAGTCAAAGACATGAGTTGTGACTTTATATTACTGTCACAATATAATATTATTTTTTATTTTCTTTTTTTGTGTTATTGGGGATTTACCCAGGGATACTTTACCATTGAGCTACATCCCCAGCCACTGTTTTTCTTTTTGTTTTTTGTTTGTTTGAGACAGGGACTCACCAAGTTGCTTAACTCCACTAAATTGCCCAGATTCCTCTTTCTTCAGCCATCCCCCCACCCCCTTCCTGGGATTACAGGCATGCTCCACGACACCCAGCTAAATGTAATATAATTTAGTACAATAATTTTGGTTTATTTTTAACTGTTTGTATTGATATAAATATACTTCACTTTTTATGTTAGTCATGAAATTACCTCATTCATATCTTTATTATCAGCTTAATTGAATTTTTTAACAAGATGAAGAAATGGGAAGACATGGCAAATCTACCCCCACATTTCAGAGAACGTACTGAGAGATTAGAAAGAAACTTCACTGTTTCTGCTGTAATTTTTAAGAAATATGAACCTATTTTTCAAGACATTTTTAAATATCCCCAAGAGGAACAACCTCGTCAACAGAGAGGAAGAAAACAGAGGTAGGTTTTTATATCTATTTCTTGGGAATAAGTGTTTGTCTTTCTGTGTTACAGTTTTGATACCTCTGTTAATTTTGTTAGTGTTAAAAAAGAAATGTGATTTCATAAAGAATTTTTTTCCCAAGAGTTTTCTTTTAATAATGATTTTTATTTTTCATTGTGTGTTATGAAGAGTTTGGCTTCTTTCATTTTGCAAAATGTATGGGGTCTTTGTTGGTATTAACTTTCCCTTTTCATTTAATCAACCAGAAATGCAGACTGCACAAATCAGACGTTTGGGGTATTCAGCAATCAGTTGTCCTTGGTATACACTGCATATTGACTGTAATATTTTCTATTATTGACTATAGAGACTATTCTTTAATTTGATTTTTATGCCAAATTGAGTAATAAATAACCCCCTGAAATGACTTCTCCATGTATTTTGATATTATCAATCAAAGTACAGAAACTGGACTTGAGAAGGCTAGAGGAAACTGAAACTATTATGAATTTGTGCTTTCTGATCAGCTCTGCAAAGTCAGTACCTTATTCTAGCTCATTGTCTTTTTGTCTTATAGCTAAGGGCAATTAGAGGATACAAATTTGACAAAAGATTTTCTATAAAATAGAAATGGAAATTTGTGTTTAAAATAGAACTAGAAAAGTGTTGATAAAGTGCAGGAAAAGGAGTTATGTTTGACTGGAATGAATAATGTTTGCTCTCATTATGGAAAAGTTTTCCCAAGCTATGAAGGATGTTTACAATAAGTACAAACTTTGGAAAATATGACAAACCACAATTTTTAAAAAAGTTTTTTAGTTGTAGATGGGCACAACACGTTTATTTACTTTTATGTGATGCTGAGGATCGAACCCATGTGTCACATGCTAGGCAAGCACCCTACTGCTGAGCAACAACTCCAGCCCAGAAACCAGAGTTTTATATAGTTGACACTGCAGATATGGAAGCAGCTGGTCTAGTTTGTTTGAAGTTTGGGAGTTTGACTATTTGCAAATTAAGTATTTTAAACTTTGGATACAATTTTTTAAAAATTAATTTTTTTATTTTTATGTGGTGCTGAGGATCAAACCCAGGGCCTTGTCTGTGCTAGGCGAGCGCTGTACTGCTGTGCCACAACCCTGGATACAAGTTTTATTTTGTGTTTCAGCAAGGCAAGTGTGATTATTTATAGAAAGATATAGAATATCTTTTTTCTTTGGAGTGTCTAGAAACTGATTTTATATTACACTTGTTTTGATATTTATTAGGATATATATACTACCTATTTCTATTTAAGAAAATTATAAAAAAAAAAAGAAAGAAAGAAAATTATAGCTGGCACTGTGGTGCCTGCCTGTAATCTCAGAAACTCTGGAGGCTGAGACTGGAGGATTACACACTCAAGCCTAGTCTTGGAAATTTAGTGAGACCCTGTCTCAAAATAAAGAAGTAAAAAGTACTCTGTCGTAGAGTACTCCTGGACCCAATCCCCAGTATCACAAAAAAAAGAAAGAAAAGAAAACTATAAAATTAATTTAAATTTTGTGTTTGGGGTACCACAATTGAAGCCAGGAGCATTCTACCACTGAGCTACATCCCCTGCCCTTTTATTTTCTATTTGTGTGTGTGTGTGAGTGAGTGAGAGAGTGATGCTGGGGATTGAACCCATGTCTTTGTGCATGCAAGACAAGCACTCTACCAATTGAGCTATATCCCAGCCCTTATTTTCTGTTTGAGTCAGAGTCTCACCAAGTTGCCCAGGCTGACCTTGAACCTGTGATCCTCCTGCCTCAGCCTCCTGAGTAAATGGGAATATAGGATTGTACCACCTTGTTTGGTTATTAAAAATTTTTATATCACTTTTTTTTTTTTTTTCTGGTGCTGGGTACTGAACCCAGGACCTTGCCCAGGCTCTACTAAGGTACTCTACCCTCCCCCAGTCCTATAGCACTCTATACTTTTTATTATCATTTTCTGCTTACAATAATACTAACAATGTACAGCACTTACTGAGCATTTATTATGGGGGCAGGGACTCTTCTAAAACATAAACAGATATCATTCAGTTAATCTTCATGACAATCTTATGAGGTTGATATTATTGTTACAAATGGGGAAAATAAGCCTCTGGGAGGTAATTTGGCCAAGTTCACACAATTGATGAGTGTGAAGTTACTATTGAAACTAAGGTAGTCTGATTGCAGAATCCCTGTGCTTCACTATGACTGTATGCTACATCTCACACACATTATAATTTGAAAGTTTGTCATCGAGTATTTATTGAACACTTACCTAAAGGAAGTACTTTGTTAGGTTTTATGTAGGACACAGATATTCACAAACAAAATCCCATAGTTTCTGTCTTTTGAGCATTTACAGTTTTGTCAAGGTGAGGAGGCAGATAAAAAGACTCCCGTTTGTGTGATACATCTTATTACAAAAGTCACCAGAATGCAATAGATAGTAGAATATAGGATTCCTGAAGCAAAAAATAAATCTGGATGAGTGAGTTGGGTAAGGAATGGACTAAATAGAAATAGGTCTTAAAGGATGGGCAGGATTTTGACAGGTAAATTTGGAGAAAATGCATAGCCTTCTATGTGGAGGAAAAACAATAGACAGAAGCAGCAAAGCAAGAGGAAATTTGGCAGCAAGTAGGTTAGTCAAATTTTTTTCTGGGTTTTTAAGTTACAAATCCAGAATTTAGAGCGGCTCGAATATTAAACTAAAAATTTTGAATTTTATCTTGATGGGCAATCAAAGCTAGAAATAATTTATCATGTGCTGTGGTAGGGAAGCTACTTTTAAAAGCAGATCACTGACTTTTAATTCTTGTCGTGGAATTGCTGAATTAAGTACACAGTATTATATCCAAGTAGAATAAACTTTTGACAGATGGAGGACTAATGCCCAGGGAGAGAAATGTACCCAGCTAATGGTGGTACTAGAACTAAACCCAATCTCCTGATCATCTTCAGGGTATTTTGCTCTTCTTGACACCCTGTTATAATAAGGCTTTTGGGATGTAGAGATCATAGATATCTTGTCTAAACATTGGCAGAGGTTTTTGTAGGAAAGCCAGATTTAAAGCAGATCTGATCAGACAACTTGGCAAAATATAATAGGTACTCTCAATGAATGGAAGTGTAAGGGCTTGTAGGAAGGCCAGAATTTACCTTAACAAGATCTGTTTATGATTTGATGTAGTTGGGAATATTTTTAGAGAGATGTATTCTCAGCTATGAGAGTGGGGGGGCAGAGGATAGGTGACCTCCTGTAGGAGTCTTAAAGCAGCATTAGCTATGATAATGTTATAAAGATAATTACTGTTTTTCATTTTATTTTCTACCCTATGTATCTTTTTTTAAAATATTTTATTTTATTTTTGAGTTGTATTTGGACACAATAACTTTATTTTATTATGTGGTACTGAGGATCGAACCCAAGGCCTCGTATGTGCTAGGCAAGCGCTCTGCCACTGAGCCACAATCCTAGTCCTGTATCTTGACCTCAAAACTTTAAACATTTTTTCAGATATTTTTCTTTCTGAGATGAGCTCTTTCCTTGGCTCCCAGTTATTTCCTCACAGTGTTTGGTTGGGGGTAGAATTTCTTACACATTTTCCCTGTGAAGCTGAATCTGGTATTATCGCTCCTCTAACTGTGGGTTTTGTTTCACACCTAATTTGTAGTCATTTGGGATGTCTTTTTCTAATTCTTATGTTGTCTCATGACCTTTTTTTCCTCCCCCAAAGGCGACAGCCCTGTACCGTGTCTGAAATTTTCCATTTTTGTTGGGTGCTTTTTATATATGCAAAAGGTAAGAAAAGAGTAATATTTATTTACATATTAAGTAGCTTATTTAAATTTTCAGGTATTAATTTTATCAACCTGTAATATTTCTTAGGAAGAACAGATCCTCACTGAAAATTTTCTTAAGGATTTGAATCCCAGATTCTTTTTGTACCACCTTTTTTTTTTAAAAAGGGTCTTTTGTAATTCTTTACACCATCCAAATCTTCTCTTATGAAATGGAGAATCCTTTAATTTTGTCCTTACTCAACATCTTTTGGACCCAAAGCTGTTCTTCTGAATTTAAAACTGAAAACACTTTCTATTATGAACTGTATTTTTCTTGACATGTCATTCAGCTGAGTAGGACTGACCAGCCTAGAGTAGTTCAAGTTATTATCTGCATCTTAATCAGCTAAATATACTTAACCAAATGTTATGTTAGGTTTATTTTCTCTCCCTTTCTTATCACCCCATTTCACTTATTCAAGATCTGCATTCACTGAATTATGTTTAGTCTTCTGTATTTCTACTTAGGAAATATTCTTAGATATCTAAAGGAAAAAAAAGAAAATATAACTGGTTAGTTACATAGCTTTTTTTTATATTATGTGGCATATCTTTGCCTGTAAGATAGCCTAATAAAATATAAAGTTAAAAACAAAGTATCATAGAACTGGAAGGATTTTCCAGATAAGGTAATTCCCCTTTATCTGTGGAGAATACATTCTAAGACCTCTAAGTGGATTCTTGAACCCACACATGGTTCTGTATCTCATGTTCTTTTTTTAAATTGCTTTTATTTTTTTAAATACATTAGAGTGGAATGCATCACAATTCTTACTACACATATAGAAAAACAATTTTATATAAAAGTATTTTCACACCAATTCATGTCTTCATACATGTACTTTGGATAATGATGTCCATCACATTCCATTATCATTGCTAACCCCCTGCCCCTTCCCTACATGTTCTTTTTTTATACATACCAACATAAAGTCTAATTTGTAAATTAGGTATCATAAGAGATTAACAATAATAACATAATAAATTAAAACAATTATAGAATATAAGAGTTATGTGAATGTGGTCTCTCTCAAAATATCTATTGTACTTTAGATCTTAGCAACTTCAGCATACAATTTTTTTTTCTTTAATAAGTCAAGAACTGTCACTTTTTTACTTAAAGGTAGCACTTTAGGGCTTCTCTGTGGCATATCTAGGTTGCTGGCATTACTACTTTTGCTCTTTGAGGTTATTATTAAGTAAAATGAGGGTGAACGAAAAACTGCTATACTGTGACAATGGATCTGATAACCAAGAAGACTACTAGTGGATGGATAGTGTGTACCGCATGGATACACTGGGTGGAGTAGTGAACAGCAAAACAGATTTCATTTTACTATTCAGAACAGTGCACAATTTAAAACTTACAAAGTGTTTATTTCTGGAACTTTTCTATTTAATATTTTCAGACTGTTGACTTAATATCTCAAATTGCAGACAGTGAAACCATGGATAAGGGGAGATTTTGTAGAAGAGATCCTCATTATTAGATCAGGTATCTCAATTTACTCACTTTAAAATTAGGCAGCTGAGGCCCAGAGACTAGGTATTAGGAACAGAGCTAGAATTTGAACCCAGACCTCCTGGCTCTTGATTTCATGCTGAATATGAAAGCTTCTAGCAAGGATGTGTCATGCTATTTGTCTCTAGATGTGGTTTGTTTGGCTATAGCTGGTCTTCTCTAGTTAGGTGACAGATATCCTTACTTCCTTGAGCTGTGTGCTTGATACAAAAGAAGTCTGTCTTCTGTCAAATGTGAACGATATGCTGTACATCAGTCTGGCAGCTTTCTGTAGTAGGATAAAGGTGACATGATCTGTGGTGTGAAATAAAGGGTTAGGAGTCTATAAACCATTTTTATAATAGCTGCAACAAGTTTTAGCTTGTGGGGCTGATATTATATATGATAGTAATCTTTTCAGATGATTGTATTGGGAAGGTATGTCTGATTTTCAGGAGTTTTATCTGTTTTGTTTGTACTTAGGAATAAATGTATTTGGTACCATAAAAACTATTAAAAAATATTTGTTGCCCTCACTTGATCAACTGAAGTGGTGTATTTTTTGTCACTTCAAATAACTCAGTGTTTGAATCTTATTAATTCAGTCTATAACAACTTGATCCAAAGCTTTGTCCTTTTATAATCCACCACTGTGGGTTTGTTGTTGTTGTTATTGTTGTTTGTTTTTGTTTAGGGTTTTTTGTTTGTTTTTGTTTTTTGAGACAAAGTCTGGCTATATTGCCCAGGCTGTCCTTGAACTCACAATTTTCCTGCCTCAGCCTCCCAAGTAGCTGGGATTACAGGTGTGCACCCCACCCGCACTATGATCTTTTATGATGCAGGAGAATCTTTACTCAGAAATCAGCTTAATTAGTTTTCTTCGGTTCTTGATTTATTTGGTAGGATGATGGCCTCTATAGACACTTTTCCTGATGACTTTTTCCGCAGCATATGAGTATCCCAGACTCTCTCATTCCTGAACTAAGTAACTTTTTGCTTGCTATCTTTGTTGACTTCATATGGTTAAGTACACACCAGTGGCCAGTTTGGGCTCGTCACACAAAGAGCTTTGTGGTCAGAAAACCAATTGGTACCACTTCCTATTTTATAGGAAATCTCAAATCTTCTCATTCTTGATAAATTAGCCAAGTCTATGGGTTAAACAGCTTTCCAACTAGCTGTTATCTTTCTTGATTGAAATATAAAGTATCTCACAAGGTGAGATTTATTTATAAGGTCAGGGTATGGAATAGAAAGTATGTCACATTGAAATAGACCTAGAATTTAAATTAGAAGACGATCTTCAGGGGCATTTCAGCTTTTTGTCATAAATTACAGTACTAGTGTTTTTTCTTCCTGTGGCAAGTACATGTGAGTGGCAAGTTTAGACTTGTCAGTGTGATGGGCTTTGTAGCTTGAAACCAGTATATGCCACTTCCTGTTTTATATATGAGGAATTAAGTCTAATATTAAAACTCTGTAAAGCCAAGAAAGTTCATTTGGATATATCAGTATAGAATTTAATTCATTAATGATCATTTGCCATATGACACCAGAAGATTTTTTTCTTTTTAATTCATTTAAGTTGAATTGTTGAATGTTTCCATTTGTATGAAAAAAGAACCATATATCCTGATATGCTGAGGTAAGTGGTAACTTTCTTTGGGAGAAAGGAGAGAAAACCTGAAATGAAGCTCAGTGTGTATACATGCATGCATTTGGGTAGGTATTAAGTATGGAAATGCTGAGGTTTGGAAATAGTTCTCCAGATAGATTAGGCATTTACATTGAATTTATCTGATATTAAAAGAAGGTAAAATCAATATGAAGCATATAAAGACAGTATTTGACCAAAAAAGGAACAGAATTTAAGTTGCTAAAAAAAAAAAAAAACTACTAGAAATATTTCTTAATTTATGAGAATAATAAAACAATTTAACAGCCTCTATAATTTGCTTTTAGTATTAGACTTAAGCAGCGCTGCTGGAAGGACACACTTCTGTAGTTTAGGTTTAAGTTTCTTATGTGTTTGTTACCAAGCACCAACAGTTACCTTGGATAGTAACTCTGTAATTTAAATATCTTTGAGTCCCTGTCGCATTAATTTCTATAAGTTTCTATCATGTAGAAAAGTATTAAAAATGTTATATTGGAGTTCTGATGGTTTTAAAGTATGTACATGAGAAATTGATTATGAGTCATAATTTCTAAATAATATCCAAGTCAAATTGTTTCTTACAGTTTGAGGTAATTTATAAATTCTCCTTTTTTCTTTTTCTTTTTGGTACTGGGAGTTGAATCCAGGAGTGCTTTATCACTGAGCCATATTGCCAGCCCTTTTTATTATTTATTTTCAAAAAGGGTCTCCTTAAGTTACTTAGGGCCTTGCTAAATTGCTGAAGCTGGTCATTTGCCACCTTACCCAAGTGCCACTATGCTCAGCCTATAATTCTTTTCAGAAATTTCAAAATCTAGTGATAATACTAAGATTTAGTTAGCTACTAAGTATTTAGTAAGTACTTATTTAATGAATACTGAATGAATGCATGGCATTTTTAGTAAGGTTTTTGTTTGCATTTAACACTAGGAAATTTATTAAAATATATGAGTAATGTCTCAAAATGTGAACTTCCCAAAACACTTAATATAATTCTTGAGTCAACTTTGTATGATGTTGTATAGTGTCATTAAAATAAAGGAATAAATTATTTTTTTAAATATTGTAAAGTTGATGCTAACTTAATTCCATAACTGTCTATAATCCTGTAGGTAATTTCCCCATGATTAGTGATGATTTGGTCAATTCTTATCACCTTCTTCTGTGTGCTTTGGACTTAGTTTATGGAAATGCCCTTCAGTGCTCTAATCGTAAAGAACTAGTGAATCCTAATTTTAAAGGTAAGTGTTTATTTAAAAGATTCTTGGGCAACCCAGATTTCTACATTATGTTTATTATTCTTAGAGGTTGTATACATAATACAGATTTTCCAGCATCAGAGACCTATTTGAAAAAGCTTCCATCATCATAGTTATCCAGGACATATCCAGGGGTCAAAGCTCTCTTTACATTTTTTATTTTGGAGATATCACAGAGTTTCAGGTCTTTAAGTGATAACTTTAGAAGTTTCTGAAATATGTACTCAACAAGGAGAAGGCATTTAGAAATTCAGAGTAACAGAAGATTACCCATGTTAAATATCATATGACAAATAACTATACAACATATAAAAATATTAAAATATATATATTTATTGCACAGTTTTATAAAAAGAAAGAAACTCAGCAAAGATGACATTAAAGCTGATATTATTTTCAACATTGGCAAGGGTTTATACCTCACACACTCTGTAGAGGTGAAAAAGGATTTACTGTTAGAATCTTCTTTCCAATTTTTTGCTATATAAGAGTAGTTATGGTTCTAAAATAAGTAAAATGAGCTAGGCACAGTGGCACATACCTATAATTCCAGTGACTTAATAGGATTATAAGTTTGAGGCCAGCCTCAGTAATTCAGTAAGGTCCTGTCTCAAAATAAAATTTTAAAAAGGGCTGGGGGGTATAGTTCAGAGATATAGCTCTCCTGGGTTCAATCCATAGTACCTAACCCACTAATTATTTTGACAATGCATTTAGTGTGCTTTAATTTACATAATTTCTATGAAATCGCAGTTCAGAATCCAAATTGTAATTTATAAAGTATATATTAAAAAGTATTTATGTAACTAATATATAAGCTACTTTTAGTTGAATAATACCATAGTAGGATTCTAGAGAGTTATTGTCAATTTTGGAGTGGTTACAGATACAGTTTTACCTTGTCTATCAGGAGCAGAGATTTTTAAAATTAGTATAGTTACTTACTTCAGTTGCTCCTGATGTTCCTTGTGTAGGTTGAGCATCCCTAATCTGAAAATACAAAATCTGAAGTGATCTGAAATCTGACACTTTCTGAGTTCAGACATGATGATCAAAAAGTTTCAGATTTAGGGCTGGTAGATACAGCACTTCCCTACCATGTACAAGGCCCTGATTTTGATCTCCTGCACTAACAAAAATAAAAAGTAAATTCAGATTTTGGAGCGTTTCAGATTTTACATTTTTTGGATCAGGGATACTTGTCTGGTAACATCTATGCAGATTTTCTAAAATCCAGAAGATTTCAAAATCTAAAACACTTCCAAGCATTTTGGAAAAGGAATAGTCAACCTACATTCTTTGTTTTTTTTTTTTTTTTTTTTTTTTCAACTTAGTTGTAAGTGGACACAATCTTTATTTCATTTCATTTTTATGTGGTGCTGAGGATAGAACCCAGGGCCTCACACATGCTAGGCGAGCGCTCTACCACTGAGCCACACAACTCCAGTCCCTCAACCTACATTCTTTTTTGTCCTTTCTCTCATTCTTCGTTTTTTTTTTTTTTAGTTGTAGGTGGATAGAATACCTTTATTTTATTTATTTATATGTGATGCTGAGGATTGAACCCATGGCCTCATACATGCTAGGCAATTGCTCTACCACTGAGCCATAACCCCAGCCCGTCTCATTCTTTCTTAACTCCCTTTTTTCTTTCTTTCTCTCCTTACCTCTTCCTTCTTCCTCCCTCCTTTCCTTTCTTTCCTTCACCCCCTACCCCTCATGCTGGGCATTGAACCAGGGCCTGCCTCTGTGCTCCATCCCAGAACTATACCCATAGCTCATTTTTATATTTTTTTAATGGTTGCTTCCCCCATTGTTTTCTTTTAATCTTTTATTTTTCTTTAACTTCTTTTTTTGCTCTTGTGCTGAGCCTACAACAAGAATAAACTAAATTAATATGATAAATAATCTAATTAAAATCTAAGTATATAATCCTTGAACTGTAATTTTTTTTTGAAGTGGTGTTTCTTGTTTGAATGTAAGCTTATTTGCAAAGTTGTATTTTTTTTTTTTTTAGGTCTTAGAGCAATAAATTAATTTTTAATCATATCCAAATAGATGACCAAATAAAATCTTTTAAGTTGTGATATACTTTTTTAGAGTTGAATTAGGAACATATACACTGTTAACTATACATTCATATGCTATTCAGATCTTGATTAGATTCTGCATTTTGGCTTATTAAAATTTAATTTATTAAGTACTGATATCTTCATTTTATTATTTCTTTCATCACAGGCCTATGTGAAGATTTTCACACTAAGGATTTTAAACCTTCCTCTGACCCACCTTGTGTCATTGAGAAACTCTGTTCCTTACATGATGGTCTTGTTTTGGAAGCAAAGGGAATAAAGGAACATTTCTGGAAGCCCTATATTAGGAAACTTTATGAGAAAAAGGTTTGTAAGTAAAAAGATATAACAAGAAATTATTTTCTAGAGAAAGACTTGATTTCGTATGATGATTTATCTACCTACCTACTTATTTTTGGAACCAGGGATTGAATTCAGGGGTGCTCGACCACTGAGCCACATCCCCAGCCCTATTTTATATTTTATTTAGAGACAGGGTTTCACTGAGTTACTCAGCACCTCACCTTTGCTGAGGCTGGCTTTAAATTCGTGATTCTCCTGTTTCAGCCTCCTGAGCCACTGGAATTACAGGAGTGTGCCACCGTGCCTGACTCATATAATAATTTAAAATCTCTTCTTTCATCATAGCTCCTCAAGGGAAAAGAAGAAAATCTTACAGGGTTTTTGGAACCTGGGAACTTTGGAGAGAGTTTGTGAGTACATCTGTTAAAATGTTTTAATATTTTAAATTGTGTACTTAGGAAACCTCAAAGTTTAATGTTTTTATTGTTTTGTACTCTGGGAATTTAAAATGTTTTATGAGAGAATATAGGAAGCAATAAAAATTCTGTTTTTAAATTTAGTGAAAATTGTTTTTTGAATGATTAGTCACATCACGCTTTTGCAACTTTATGGGTGAAAAGTGACAATGTGGAAATATTGAGGTTTTCAGAGGTTCCTATAACAGCTGGGAAAGATAGCTAAGCTTTTCACCAGGAGTTGCATCTACCAGGCAGATTGGTACAGGGTATACACTATAAAACACTATCAGTGAGATACACTCCCTGTGCAGTGGATGCACATAGTGTAGCAATCTTATGTTTTATTCTCTTCAGTTTTTATAAACAATGATCTCAAATGAAATTTAACTTTCAAAAATTATTAGAACTTTTAGTAAATAAAAAATGAAATAATTAAGTGGCCTGAAACATTAACTGAAATGGCAGTTCTTTGAGAGAGAACATTTTGTTTTTTCTTTTTCCATATAGTAAAGCCATCAATAAGGCCTATGAGGAGTATGTTTTATCTGTTGGGAATTTAGATGAAAGAATATTTCTTGGAGAGGATGCTGAAGAGGAAATTGGGACTCTTTCAAGGTGCCTGAACTCTGGTTCAGGAACAGAGAGTGCTGAAAGAGTACAGATGAAAAACATTTTGCAACAGCATTTTGACAAGGTGAGTGGAGTCATCTCAGGAGAGTACAAAATACGGGTGCAAATAAGCTGAGGGTTCTATTTTATTTTTGTAGTTCTCTGTGTTTTATTTGTTTACTGAATGAAAAAAATAGTTCCATCCTACTTCTCTCAATTAAAAGTTATCTTGTTAATTTACTTTTCGTTAACATCAACTTTGAAAGGTTTTAGTTAGGTCTAAGCAAAAGAGAATTTATTGTAAATTAAAACAAAAGTATCATGCTGATAATTTTTGGTTTTGAAAAGATGGGCCAATAGTATACAGCCTATGCATGTGATGAACATAGTAGGGATTTATAAAATGTTAATAATTAACCTGAATTGGGGTCTTCATTAAAGAAACTGGAGAAACAAACTGTATTATTTAAGAAAATTCTATTAAAATGAGTTTCAGCATCGTGTGGTATTACTTAGACTGATAGACTGAGTTTCCCCTCCCTTTAAGTGAGTTGCTTCAGATTTGAGACTTATCTGCCTTTTTTATTTCTAAAGGTATTTTATATACCATATTGTGTCTTGGATATTGGAAAATATATCTGAACAAAATAACCATGAATATGTTGTTTTAAAGAAGCTTATAGCTAGAGTAGGGAGATGGACCTCAGATAACCAAAGAGTTAAATATATGTTGAATTATATTATATGAAGAAAAATTAAATAGATTAGTAATACAAAGTATTGGGGGTAGGGGAGAATGGATGGGCAGATGGAGGTACTATAGATAAGGTAAGAAAAAGTGTTTGAGGAGGTAATATTAGCAGAGACCTAAATAAGTGAGGAAGCAAGTCATGGAAATAGCTGCAGAAATAAGTGTGAAGCTAAGAGAATAGCAGGCGCAAGGCTCTGAGGTAGAAACTCCATGTCATTTCTGAACAGTGAGAATATTAGTGCATAAGGAATGGAGTGAGGGAGGGGAAGAGGGATAAGAAGTAAAGGGAGGGAGGAGCAAGGGATAGCTGGGATCATGCAGGCTCTGGAGGCCTTTGTAGGAACTTTTCTTTTGCACTGATGGAAATGAAAGGTTTTAAGAGGTGTTTTTGAGGAGTGACCCCTGCTATGTGATCTGATTGGCCTTTTTAAAGGTCTTGTGGGGAAGTGGGGTCAGGGGCAAGGGTGAAAGTAGGCAGTTAAGAGGCTGTTGATTATCACTATTCTAGTGATAATTCATGGATGATACTTTGATGGAGAGAGATGGCTGTATTTGGGTCACACTTTGGAGATGCCACAGGATTTATTGACATTTTGGATTAAGATGTGGCAGATGAAAAATAATGACAATAGGGTGAGTGATATAAAAGCTAACGTCCTTACAAACGCCTGTGTGGTCTTAAGTGACCTGGCCCTGTTATCATTCTGAATTCATCTCCTATTTCTTTCCTCCTCACCCATTCCACTATGCCACATTAACTTCCTTTTTCATTTTTCAGATATGCCATGCATGCTGTCTACTCAAAGCCTTTGGCCTTGCTGTTTCCTCTGCCTAAAACATGTTTCTTCAGATGTTCACGTGGCTTACTTCCTCACTACATTCTGATCTCTGATAACTTGATTACTATGTAAAATAATAACCACCAGCGTCCTCCAACCCTCAGGACTTCCTTTCTCCCGTACTCTGCTATTGATGTCATTTCAGTATTTATTGCTAGCAGTAAATAAGGAGATAGGTGGGTAGGTTGATAGAAAGAATTGTTATCTATCTCCTTGTACTAGAGCACAAGTTTCATGAGGGATGTTACCTTATTGTTTGCAGTGTTCAACATATAATAGGCATTCCAAATATATTTATGGTTAACATTTATTGAAAGGGAAGAACAGATCTTGGGGGTGGATCAAAAGTTAGGGTTACGGCTGGAAGGCTGGGGATGTAGCTCGGAGGCAAAGCACTTGCCTAGCATGTGTAAGACCCTGGGTTCCATACCTTGCACTACCAAAAAAAAAAAAACAGGAGTTAAAGTTCAACATGTTAAATCTGAGTTATGTCTTAGGCATCCTAGTAGAGTCATTGAGTAGGCAGCTCAGAAATTCATCACTGGAGTTCACAGCAGAGATTAAGGTTATGTATACATATATGCATATGTATATTTGTATATACATATTTTTTCTGGAGTTATCAGGATGTGGATGGCTTTTAAAGTTATGGAATGAAGAGAGATTACTTAGCAGTGTGAGTTTTAAGGACAGCTGCATTGCAAATTTTGGAAGTCTTCACTTGGAGAAGGAACAGCCTAGTATATATATGTGTATGTGTGAGTGTGTATGTGGTTTTTTTTTTTTTTTTTTTTTTTCAGTACTGCAGTATTTGAAGCCAGGGTACTGTACCACTCACCTATATCCCCAGATTTTTTTATTTTATAGTTTAAATCAAGGTCTTGCTAAGTTGCCCATGCTGGCCTTGAACTTGAGATCTTCCTGCCTCCACTCCCTGAGTAGCTAGGACTAGAAGAGTACCATTGTGCCCAGCAACATCCTAGTATTTTTAAACTATCAACTTCATATCATACTTGAGTTAAAGAAAAATTCCTCTTGGTTAGAATGCACAGGGAGCTTTAAGTAAGTTAAACACTTAAAACAGTGCTACCAAATAGCTCCATGTTGACCTTGAAGAGAATAGGCTGGAAACTGGTTGTTATATTCTGATTTCCTCTATGAAAATGCTGCCTGTGGGTAATGTGGTTAAATGTTGCTGGCTGCTGTTGACTTCTTACGTGCACCGGGTATTTTTCTCCCTCAAATCAGGCACAGGTTCATATACGGTAAAGAAGTTGGCTTCAAGAGAGCTAAGGCAGAGAGTTAATGCAGTTCATCTACCCAGATCATGTTATGAACTTAAAAAAATAATAATAGGATGAATTTCCTCTAAACAAAATAAAATAAGGGTCTCAGCTCTACTGGTCTTTTTTTTTTAAATGAGACAAGGGACAAGGTCTTGCTAAGTTGCGTAGGGCCTCACTTTTGCTGAGGCTGGCTTTGAACTCCTGATCCTCCTGCCTCAGCCTCCTCAGTCGGTGGATTACTGGTGTGTGCTGGCATGTCCAGCTAGCTCTACTGCTATCTGAGACATATAGAAAGCATACATATTTAATGTAGAAACCACATAGATTTCTTTCTTTTTTAAAAAATTTTTAAATTTGTTCTACTTAGTTGTACATGACAGCAGAATGCATTTCAATTCATTGACCACAAATGGAGTCCAACATTTCAATTCTCTGGTTGTATACGGTGTAGAGACACACCATTCATGTAATCATACATGTACCTAGGGTAATGATGTCCATCTCATTCTACCATCTTTCCTATCCTCATAACCCCTTCCAGCCCTCCCCTTTGCCCAATCCAAAGTTCCTCCATTCTTCCCATGCCCCACCACCATCATAGATCAGTATCCACTAATCAGAGAAAACATTCAGCCTTTGGTTTTTTGAGATTGGCTTACTTTGCTTAGCTTAATATTCTCCAACTCCATCCATTTACCTACAAATTATGCCATAATTTTATTCTCTTAATGCCGAGTTTTATACCTTGTGTATATATATCATAGTTTCTTTATCCGTTCATCTATTGATGGACATCTAGGTTGGTTCCACAGTTTAGCTAATGTGAATTTAGCAGCTATAAACATTGGTGTGGCTATATTACTATAGTATGCTGATATTAAGTCCTTTGGATATAGACCAAGGAGTGGTATAACTGGGTCAAATGGTGATTCCATTCCAAGTTCTCTGAGGAATCTCCACACTGCTTTCCAAAGTAGTTGCACCAATTTGCAGTCCCACCAGCAATGTATGAGTGTACCTTTTCCCCCCACATCCTCTCCAACACTTATTATTGCTTGTATTCTTGATAACTGCCATTCTGACTGGGGTGAGATGAAATTTTAGTTTTGATTTGCATTTCTTTAATTACTGAAGATGTTGAACACTTTTTCATATATTTGTTGATTGCTTGTATATCTTCTGAGAAGTGTCTGTTCAGTTCCTTAGCCCATTTATTGATTGGGTTGATTTTTTTTTTCGGTGTAAGTTTTTTGAGTTATTTATATATCCTAGAGATTAGTGCTCTGATGTATGTGTGGTAAAAATTTGCTCCCATACTGTAGGCTGTCTCTTCACCTCAGTGATTGTCTCTTTTTACTGAGAAGAATCGTTTTAGTTTGAATCTATCCCATTCAATAAATTCTTGATTTTATTTCTTGCACTTTAGGACTTGTTAAGGAAGTTGGGGCCTAATCTGACATGTTGAAAATTTGGGCCTACTTTTTCTTCTATTCAGTGCAGGGTCTCTGGTCTAATTTCTAGTTCCTTGATCCACTTTGAGTTGAGTTTTGTGCATGGTGAGAGAGAGAGAGAAGTTTAATTTTATTTTGCTACAGATGAATTTCCAATTTTCCCAGCACCATTCGGTGAAGAGGCTATCCTTTCTCCAATGTATGTTTTTGGTGTCTTTGTCTAATAAGATAACTGTGTTTATATGGGTTGGTCTCTGTGTCTTCTATTCTGTACCATTGGTCTACATGTCTGTTTTGGTGCCTATACCATGCTGTTTTTGTTACTACTGCTCTGTAGTATAGTTTTAGGTCTGGTATTGTGATACCTCCTTCTTCACTTTTCTTGCTAAGGATTGCTTTGACTATTCTGGGTCTCTTATTTTAACAAATGAATTTCATGATTGCTTTTTCGAGTTCTATGAAGAATGACATTGGGATTTTTTTTATATTTTTTAGTTTTAGGTGGACACAATATCTTTAATTTACATTTATGTGGTGCTGAGGATCAAACACAGTGCCTCATGCATGCTAGGCGAGCACACTACCACTGAGCCACGACCCCAGCCCCTGGCATTGGGATTTTAATAGGAATTGCATTAACTCTGTATAATAGTTTTGGTATTCATGGCCATTTTGACAATATCGACACTGCCTATTCAAGAGCATGGGAGATATTTCCATCTTCTAAGGTCTTCTTCAGTTTCCTTCTTTAGGTTCTGTAGTTTTTGCTGTAGAGGTCTTTTACTACTTTTGTTAGATTGATTCCCAAGTATTTTATATTTTTTGAGACTATTTTGAATGGGGTAGTTTAGAAACCACATAGATTTATTTCTGAGCTTTTCTGTATCAAGTGAGAATTGAACAGCTTGTTCTGATGCCAGTTGAAAATTGTGCTAGGTGTTTTTAAAACTCTCTAGAGTAAGTACATTTAATACTTAGGGAAATATGGCTTGTCTTTTTTAAATATCAAAAATGCTGCTGAGGACTGGGGTTATAGCTCGGTGATGGACTATTTGCTTTGCATGCACAAGGCCCTGGGTTCCATAATAATAATAATAAAAAGATAGTATTAAGCTATTTTAACTACTTTAATTTTTCAGAGTTTATGCAAAAATCAGAAAAGATGCTTTATTTGCAGATGTATTTATGCTTAAATTCTTTGTCTTTAAGTTGTATCTTTTTTATATTATATACAAGAATACATTTCTGGGAAGACTTGTCTATTCTAGAGAGAAAAAGTGTGATAGAGTCCAATAACTAAAGATAGTGGAGGTCGGATACAAAAACATATCAAAAAAATTGTGCACCATGATCAAGTAGGATTCATCCCTGGGATGCAAGGCTGGTTCAATATACGGAAATCAATAAATGTTATTCACCACATCAATAGACTTAAAAATAAGAACCATATGATCATCTCGATAGATGCGGAAAAAGCATTCGACAAAGTACAGCATCCCTTTATGTTCAAAACTCTAGAAAAACTAGGGATAACAGGAACATACCTCAATATTGTAAAAGCAATCTATGCTAAGCCTCAGGCTAGCATCATTCTGAATGGAGAAAAATTGAAGGCATTCCCTCTAAAATCTGGAACAAGACAGGGATGCCCTCTCACCACTTCTGTTCAACATAGTTCTCGAAACACTGGCCAGAGCAATTAGACGAAAGAAATTAAAGGCATAAAAATAGGAAAAGAAGAACTTAAATTATCACTATTTGCAGATGACATGATTCTATACCTAGCAGACCCAAAAGGGTCTACAAAGAAACTATTAGAGCTAATAAATGAATTCAGCAAACTGGCAGGATATAAAATCAACACGCATAAATCAAAGGCATTCCTGTATATCAGTGACAAATCCTCTGAAATGGAAATGAGGACAACCACTCCATTCACAATATCTTCAAAAAAAATAAAATACTTGGGAATCAACCTAACAAAAGAGGTGAAAGACTTATACAATGAAAACTACAGAACCCTAAAGAGAGAAATAGAAGATGATCTTAGAAGATGGAAAAATATACCCTGTTCATGGATAGGCAGAACTAATATCATCAAAATGGCGATATTACCAAAAATTCTCTATAGGTTTAATGCAATGCCAATCAAAATCCCAACGGCATTTCTTGTAGAAATAGAGAAAGCAATCATGAAATTCATATGGAAAAATAAACGACCCAGAATAGCAAAAACAATGCTAAGCAGGAAGTGTGAATCAGGCGGTATAGCGATACCAGACTTCAAACTATACTACAGAGCAATAGTAACAAAAACAGCATGGTACTGGTACCAAAACAGGCGGGTGGACCAATGGTACAGAATAGAGGACACAGAAACCAATCCACAAAACTACAACTATCTTATATTTGATAAAGGGGCTAAAAGCATGCAATGGAGGAAGGATAGCATCTTCAACAAATGGTGCTGGGAAAACTGGAAATCCATATGCAACAAAATGAAACTGAATCCCTGTCTCTCGCCATGCACAAAAGTTAATTCAAAATGGATCAAGGAGCTTGATATCAAATCAGAGACACGCCGTCTGATAGAAGAAAAAGTTGGCTACGATCTACATACTGTGGGGTCGGGCTCCAAATTCCTCAGTAGGACACCCATAGCACAAAAGTTAATAACTAGAATCAACAAATGGGACTTACTCAAACTAAAAAGTTTTTTCTCAGCAAAAGAAACAATAAGAGAGGTAAATAGAGAGCCTACATCCTGGGAACAAATCTTTACTCCTCACACTTCAGATAGAGCCCTAATATCCAGAGTATACAAAGAACTCAAAAAATTAGACAATAAGAGAACAAACAACCCAATCAACAAATGGGCCAAGGACCTGAACAGACACTTCTCAGAGGAGGACATACAATCAATCAACAAGTACATGAAAAAATGCTCACCATCTCTAGCAGTCAGAGAAATGCAAATCAAAACCACCCTAAGGTACCATCTCACTCCAGTTAGATTGGCAGCCATTATGAAGTCAAACAACAAGTGCTGGCAAGGATGTGGGGAAAAGGGTACACTTGTACATTGCTGGTGGGACTGCAAATTGGTGCAGCCAATTTGGAAAGCAGTATGGAGATTTCTTGGAAAGCTGGGAATGGAGCCACCATTTGACCCAGCTATTCCCCTTCTTGGTCTATTCCCTAAAGACCTAAAAAGAGCATGCTACAGGGACACTGCTACATCGATGTTCATAGCAGCACAATTCACAATAGCAAGACTGTGGAACCAACCTAGATGCCCTTCAATAGATGAATGGATAAAAAAAATGTGGCATTTATACACAATGGAGTATTACTCTGCATTAAAAAATGACAAAATCATAGAATTTACAGGGAAATGGATGGCATTAGAGCAGATTATGCTAAGTGAAGCTAGCCAATCCCTAAAAAACAAATGCCAAATGTCTTCTTTGATATAAGGAGAGTAACTAAGAACAGAGTAGGGTCGAAGAGCATGAGAAGAAGATTAACATTAAACAGGGATGAGAGGTGGGAGGGAAAGGGAGAGAGAAGGGAAATTACATGGAAATGGAAGGAGACCCTCAGAGTTATACAAAAGTACATACAAAAGGAAGTGAGGGGAAAGGGAAAAATAATACAAGGGGGACAAATGAATGTCAGTAGAGGGGGCAGAGAAAGAAGAGGGGAGGGGAGGGGAGGGGGGATAGTAGAGGATAGGAAAGGCAGCAGAACACAACAGACACTAGTATGGCAATATGTAAATCGATGGATGTGTAACTGATGTGATTCTGCAATCTGTATATGGGGTAAAAATGGGAGCTCATAACCCACTTGAATCAAAGTGTGAAATATGATATATCAAGAACTATGTAATGTTTTGAACAACCAACAATAAAAAAAAAATTAAAGATAGTGGAGGGGCAAAAAGATTGAAGATTGCTTTTCCTCAGATTGCCTTTATGGAGAATGTTTAATCGTCTCTCTGAAGGAGATTTGATGCTTTGGATGGATTTTACTTGGGCCAGATTTAATCCATAGCTTTCTTTCATTTGTCCATCTTTTGAGATTTGCAGACATGATGGTGAATATGAGCTGTCAAATTCTGTTTCTCAGACATGAGAATAATATTCTTAACTTTTAAAAACATAATGCTTATCTTTCCTTTGAGCTCAAGTTTTGAAGGAGAGATAATAGGAAGATATACCTTAAAGTTTTAACTTTTTTTTCCCTTTGGTACTCGGGGATTGAACTCAGGATACTTTAACACTGAGCCATATCCTCAGCCCTTTTTATTTATTTATTTTTTTTATTTTGACACAGGGTCTTCCTAAGGTGCTTAAGGCTTCCATGAGTTGCTAAGGTGGGCCTCAAACTTGTAATCTCCTGCCCTAGACTCCTAAGTCACTGTGATTACAGGCATGTGCTACCTCACCTGGCTTAAAGTTTTAACTTTTAAGACAAACATATAGTTGGCTAAAATAAATAGTGTCTTGTCACATATCTTTACATGGATAATGGCAGCTCTTAGTTGTGTTATATTTAAGTTCTAGGAAGGTGATAAATGAGTTGCTAAAATTTATTGATATTGTAAAGATAAGGTCTGATTGACTTAAATTCCTATTTGTGAAGTAACAAAGTCTTTCTTACCTAATAATTTTTTTTCACCAGTCTAAAGCACTTAGAATCTCCACACCACTCACTGGTGTGAGGTACATTAAGGAGAACAGCCCTTGTGTGACTCCCATTTCTACAGCTACACATAGCTTGAGTCGTCTTCACACCATGCTGACGGGCCTCAGGAATGCACCGAGTGAGAAATTGGAACAGATTCTCAGGTTAGTTTGAGCTCTGGCTACCTTTCCAAGATTGGGTGTTGATCATTTTCCAATTCCTATATCAATTTTTCACTATTATACCTCATTTTAATAATTGTATAGCAGTTGTATGCTCAGTCTTGTTGGTCAGCAGAGGACATAGCAATATAAGATGAATAAGCAGAAGGTCATCTTTGCTCATATTTCTCTAATGTGATATAGGAAATGGTAAACTAACAATGCAAAACCCTGTGTGATAAGGTACCAAATCTCATTATCAACTATTTTACAATTGTAGAAAAGGAGGTTGTGTGGTCAGTGTCAATGAGAGTTGGCATAGAACTTCATGAACCCTTTCATGAACCTGAACAAATTTCTGAAAGGTGGATCAGATTTGAACAGATAAGATGAAGCTTTCTGTGTTCATAAAGCAAGAGTAAAACCACTGTTGCTTTTGAAAGCTCTCTAAAACACTCAGCCTACAAAGAAAGTTAACTGCCTCCCAACTCTAATCTTAAATACCCTCAGTGGGGTTAAATATTACCAGTAAATACTAGGTAAAATCAAAGGTTTTGCATTTGTAAAAAGGTAAGTGTGTGTCATAAATAAAATTCTGGTTATATACAATACTTGGTAATTATCTCTAACAGAATTATAACTGTTTTTTTTAAAAATTTTTTTCCAAGCTTGTTATGTTTTTACAGTGAACGTATATATTTATGATCAAAATAAACACACAGAGGTTACAAAGGCCCATATGGTGGTATTTGTATAATCCTTCTGAATTTAATTTATATTGCTTTCTAATTAAAAAGAATCAATGACATAAACCTCATTTTGGTGAAAAAAAAAAAAAGAATGTCAGTAATGATTTATGTGAGTCTGCAGTATAGGATACATACCTCTTCCTGTTTTCTTTCAGGTGTTCTTAAAAGCACCTATGTTCTCTAGGGAATCAATTGAAGGCAGTTTTTGGTTATTATCAGTTATTGGGGATGTGCAAGTTGAGTTTGGACCAGTCATGGCATTAGTTGGTCCCCAGGGCCAAGATTACTAAGTTTACCAAAGTGAAGGGTACAGTGCCTCACAAGATAGCATATGTACTTTTTCACTCCAAATAGTAGTCTAGCCACCTTTGTAAAGGAAGCATGGGATCGTCTGAATTAACTTGGAAAGTATATAGTGTCCAAAGATTTTACATTTACATGTTAATGAAATTACAGAGTTATAATATTTTATCCTTTCATAACCTGATACAACATTTATATTAGACAGTTTTTTATTACTTTTTAGGACATGTTCCAGAGATCCAACCCAGGCTATTGCTAATAGATTAAAAGAAATGTATGAAATATATTCTCAGCATTCCCAGCCAGATGAGGATTTCAGTAATTGTGCTAAAGGTAAGGTTTATTATTGTATTTAAGTACATGGAGTCCTTTCTTGGTAATCCAGTCAGAAACATGAAAAGACTTATGACTAAATGGAGAGGTGTAGTGTGGCTTTTTTTTCTTTTATCCAAGTGATTTCTAGGCCCCTCTCTGAAAGAAACTTTAGACTAGTATCTATATTATGTTAGATTTTTTGTTCTTTTTTTATTGGTAAATTCTTTTTCATGTGTGTGGTTTAACCACTGAGCTGCATTCCCAGCCCTTTTTATGTTTTGAGACAGGGTCTCACTGAGTTACTTAGGGCCTTGCTAAATTGCTGAGGCTGGCTTTGAACTTTCCATCCTCCTGTGTCAGCATCCAAAGTCACAGGGATTAACAGGTGTGCATCACCATGCCTGATGGCTATTGGTAAATTCTTTAGTTTTCATTTGTAAACTGGAAATTAAACAAACTATAGTGATTCTTCAACATAGTCAACCCATTTATCTATCCTTGTTCTTACTATCTCTTTTCTGAAATGCTTGGGACTAGAAGTGTTTCACATTTCAGATTTTTTTTCAGACTTTTGAGTATTAGATGTACAAATTGAAATATCTGGGGAATAGGACACAAATCTGAACACAAAATTTATTCATGTTTTATATATATAGCCTAATACTTTAATGCAGTAGTTTTAGTGTATCTGTGTTTTGCCTGTGACATGAGTTCAGGGTTGAATTTTCAAATGACTCCATCCTGGTGCTCAAAAAGTTTCAGATTTTGGATCATTTTGGATTTTGGATTTCCACGTTAGGGATGACCAACCTGTAACTGGTACATATGCCCAACCCTGGCCTGGGAATTGTTGATGTCAAATTGGAACCAAGTATGTGGAATAGTAAACCAATTACATATCTCTTAGCATCTGTCAGCTTCTCATTACTGTAAATAAAACACCCGAGAGTATTAACTTAGAAAAGGTTTATTCATCTCACTGTTTTGGAGGTTCCATTCCATGATCAAGTAGCTCCATTGTTTTGGGCCTCTTGGGGGGATTCTGGATAACAATGTCAGGGAGTATGTGGTGAGGCAAACTCATATCATAAGCCAGAAAACAACAAGAAAGAGACAAGAAGAGATGGGGATCCCAGTGCCTCCAGTGACTTAAGGACTTCCAATTAGGCCCCATCTGGTAAAGGTCCCACCACTTTCCCATAGAGCCACTCTTAGGACCAAGTCTATTACATGGGTATTTAGAGGATATTCAACATCCAAACTGTAGCATCATAGAACTATTTTTTTTTTCCAAACAGAACAAAAAGGTGAGAATCTTAATGCAGTGATATTATAATTTTTTTATATGTAAATTTCAGTTAGCAATTTTAGAAAAATATGAATGTTACCATGAAGAATATAAGGAATTTTAGGGATAATTGAATAAGCAATTATAGAAAAGGCATGTATCTGAAGTATGGGTTTGGTATTTAAATTTTATTTTGTGGGTGGAGAGAGTGTGATGGGCCTTCATTTTCCATGTTGTTTATTTTCTTGGTATTTGATTTTTGTGTTTTTAAAATTATTTCTACAGAAATTGCCAGCAAACATTTTCGTTTTGCAGAGATGCTTTACTATAAAGTATTAGAATCTGTTATTGAGCAGGAACAAAAAAGACTGGGAGACATGGATTTATCTGTGAGTAAAACAGTTTCCTTCTTCTCTACTCAAAAATTAAAAAAAAAAAAATAAGGTGGGGTAGAGAAGAGGGAAAGAAAGGACAGAAGAGGGAGGAAGGTAAGGAAGGAGGAAGAGCCATTAAAAAGAAATGATGTATGACTCTAGGGAATAAGATTGGCATCTCAGAATAGACACAATTTAGGAAGATGAAAAGAGTTCTGGAGGTGGAGGGTGGTTATGGTTACATAACACTGTTACCATACTTAACATCACTGAATTGTAAACTTCAAGATGGTTAAATGCTGTTTTGTTAAGTATATTTTACCACAGTAAAGGTTTTTTTTTAAATCAGTTACTTTGGTGAATATAAATTTATTGGCCTCTAAATTGTAGCTGTTTTATATATATCCTTCAATATGTGCTTTACAAAAAATAAAGTCATAAGTCATAAAATAGCCCTTTAAATTCATACAGCAGTTTATACACACACACATATACGTATACACACGCACCTGTTTATCCCTCTCTCTGTCCCTTGGTAACCTTTACTTAGTCTGTTTTCTGGCTGTCTTTTTTTATGAATTTATTTACCTATGCTAGGTATCTCATTTAAATAGAATTAAGTACAATATTTGTCCTTCTTAGTCTGGCTTAATGCACTTCTCAGGGTTTATCCACATTCTAGCATATATCACAATTTTTCCCTTTTGTTTAAACATTTTGTTTATCCATTCATTTTATGGTGAATATTTGGATCATTTCTACCTTTTGACTACTGTGAATAATGCTGCTGTTAATATTGGTGTAAAAGTATTTGTCAAGCATCTGTTTGAGTCCCTGCTAACAGTTCTTTTGAGTTCTTCAGACCTAGAAGTATAATTGCTAGATCATGGTAATTTTTCTTTTCCTTCTTTTTTTTTTTTGGTGGGGGGGCAGAGTTGGTGGGGGAAGACAGTTCTGGGGATCAAACCCAGGCTTTTGTGCAAGCATTCTATTACTGAGCCACATCCCTAACTCCATGTGGTGATTATTTGTTTAACTTTTTCAGGAACTGCCATACTGTTTGCCATAGCAGCTCTACCACTTTCTTTACATTCTCACCGCCCCTACATCAGGGTTTTGGCTTTCTCACATTCTCAAAACATTTGTTATTTTTCATTTTTTGAAAAATATTTATCTTGATGGATATGAAGTAATATCTCATGGTGCTTTTGATTTGCATTTCCCTAACAATTTTTAAAATTCTAGATATTAATTCTAGATGTTAATCCTTTCTAGATTCGTTTTTAAAATTCTACATTTTAATCCTTTACCAGGTGTCCAATTTGTAAGTATTTTCTCCCATTCTGTGGGTTTTGTTTTCACCCTGTTGGTAGTCTCCATTTAGTCTTTTTTTTTTTTAATATTTTTTTACTTGTCAGTGTACCTTTTATTTATATGCAGTGCTGAGAATTGAACCCAGTGCCTCACATATGCTAGGCAAGTGCTTTACCACTGAGTCACAATTCTAGCTCTCCAGTTTGTTTATTTATTTATTTATTTATTTTGGTAGTGTTGGGGATTGAACCCAGGGCTTTGTGCATGTGAGGCAAGCACTATACCAACTGAGCTATATCCCCAGCCCCATTTATTCTTAATTTTTAAATTTTGATGAATTCTCATTTATCCGTATTTTTTCTTGTTGGCTGAGTAACTTTTTAATTCAAAAATACTAAATATTCATATACATTTTGAGAAACTAATAAGCAAAGCAAATCACCTGTAATTATGTCACCCTACAATAAACATGTTTTTTGGCACATGGTCATCAAGCCAGTCACCTTCTTGCCTGCCTTCCAGCTGTCTTTTTGTGACAGTGCCCTCTTACTGTGAAAACTGTTTTGTAATATCTTTTTACGTTATCTAAGCATCAGGGTGCATTTGCATTTTGGTTAGAGATGTCATATTTCATAATATATAAGATTTTTGTAAGTTCTTATATATTCCTTTATATTTTTGATAAAATAAAGCTTATTTATAGAGTTAAGAAAGGTTCTGTAAGAAAGTAAGCACATACTTCCACTAACTCAGAAAACAAGACCTTATCTGGTATTTTTATTTTAAGTATGAAATGTCCTTTTAGAGTAGGCTAATGTTTCTAAATGTTTTTAACTTTGTTTTATAGGGTGTTCTGGAACAAGATGCATTCCATAGATCACTCTTAGCTTGCTGCCTTGAGGTTGTCACTTTTTCTTATAAGCCTCCTGGGAACTTTCCATTCATTACCGAAATATTTGATGTACCACTTTATCATTTTTATAAGGTATTTTTTTCTTTTCATGTTTTTTCTAATTGGTGCACTATAGTTGTATATAGTGATGGGATCTGTTATATATTCAAATATGCACATGATATTTATTATAAGGTATTTTTTTTAAACTATGATATTAATGATCATGGATGAGATGAACTTCCTGTTGTTAGTCCTTAACAACTTTTTGTTTGTTTTGTGGTATTGGCAATTGAACCAGTGCTTTGCATGTACTAGGCAAGCACTCTATTACTGATACAACTCTCCAGACCTTTTTATTTTATTTGAGATAGGGTCTCACTAAGTGGTTCATGCTGACCTCAGTCTCCTGAGTAGCTAGGATTACAGGTGTGTACCACCACACCCAACTGATAAAGGATTTTTAGAATACTGTGATTTCAGGAGTCTTATAAGGCTTTAAAAAGTAATGTGCACATCACTAGCTAATCTTGTATAGCAGCCCTTTTTTTTGTTGTTGTTATGAAAGTTAAATAACATTGAGAATAGTTTGAAAAAGTAAGTTCTCTAGCTGGGTGTGGTGGCACATGCCTGTAATCCCAGGGACTTGGAAAGCTAAGGCAGGAATGTTGCAAGCTCAAGGCCAGACTCAGCAATTTAACAAGGCCCTGAGCAACTGGTATGACTCTGTCTCAAAATAAAATATATAAAGGGCTGGCGATGTGGCTCAGTGGTTAAGCCCAGGGTTCAATTCCTGGTACCAAAAATTAATAAATAATTTCCTGTCATTACAGAGAGGCATTAATCTCCTAGCTATTTACTTCTTTTGTTTGGTACTAGGGATTGAACACAGTGACACTTTACCACTGAGCTACATCCCCAGCCCTTTTTTATTTTGAAACAGGGTCTTCCTTGATGTTAACTTAGCATATGGTCAAAATTAGTTTCTATCATGTCATATATCAAATGTATAAAGGGCTTTGATATATTTTTTGTTTTGTTTTTTTTTCTTTTGTGTGTATGCTGGGGATTGAACCCAGGGTCTTGTACTGAGGCACATACCAGGCTCTTAGTATAAAATATTAACAGTAATGTTTTCATACTCAATATACAAAGGATATTTTTTCATTTACACATTTTGATATATATCACTGTAGAAAATATTTTATATAATTTATATATATACATTATTATTTACAAGATAGTAAAAGGAAGAACCACTGTTTCAAAATCAAACTTTTGTTAAATTTGTAATTTTTGATATTTGTCTAAATATTGAAAAATATTTAAACAGATGTGCCCATTTTACTTTTATGCTTAGTAAAAATTTTTTGTGTGAAAAATCATAGTAATCATTATTATTATTAAATGAACCAAGGCCTTTTTCTTTATTTCAGGTAATAGAAGTATTCATTAGAGCAGAAGATGGCCTTTGTAGAGAGGTGGTAAAACACCTTAATCAGATTGAAGAACAGATCTTAGATCATTTGGCATGGAAACCAGAGTCCCCACTCTGGAATAGAATTAGAGACAATGAAAACAGAGTTCCTACATGTGAAGAGGTTTGTGAAAGTATCCTAACAGCTTTTTATAAGAAAAGTACATCAATATCTATCCTATTCCATTACCCTTTCACCAAACAGCATTTAAATTTAGTATTTTCCATGTAGGGGGTGAAAACTTGATAGTTGGCATTAATATCTACCTCTGTAAATATTAACAAGAGCCAGGAATAATTTGAAATTGTCCCAAGGTTTCAGTGACATTAAAATTCAATTGTTTTTCTTGATTCCTGATCAAGTTTCTCTTCATTAGCATAATTGCCATTCTAACTCTCCAAATCAGTAATAAAGGTTGATTCATATTTAATACCCAATTTTCAGTTTGGGAGGCTTTTTAGTTTTAATATGAAAATGGAAAAAGCTGATTTTATTAAGGTGGAAGAACTAATGAGCCAAGATAGTTTACTTCTTAGAGTGCTACTGTATTTCTAATGAAAATGCTTCTTCAAATATTACCATTTTGTGTGAACAATTATTTATAGGTCATGCCACCTCAGAACCTGGAAAGAGCAGATGAAATTTGTATTACTGCCTCCCCTTTGACTCCTAGAAGGGTGAGTGAAGTTCGTGCTGATACAGGAGGGCTCGGAAGAAGTAAGTTCAAAATGTTAGAAGGAATATTTTGGAACCTTGCACCAAAATCTGTGATTTGGTCCCACATGAATCACTTAAAAATAATGGTTTTAAAGAATATTTAATGAGGAAAATATATGACAGAACAAGAATCTTCTTACTTGTTGTGGTGGGCATAGCACCCATGGCCTCATACATGCTAGGCAAGCACTCTACTTCTGAGTTTTATCCCCAAGCCTCAAGTTACTTTTTAAAAGGATAGGATGCTATATATTTAATGTGATCCTTATTTTTAAAGTGAATGTTTTCCTCAAAGCATAAAAATGGGCAGAAGTGGAAAAACCAACTTTTAAGAATAATTCTTGTTGGGTGATAGAATTACCAGTGATGTCTATAATTTTTTAAAAAGGGAAATGGGTTTTATTTTTAAGATTAGAAGAAGTAGAGGTCTTCTTAAGGTTAGAGCTGCATGAACCAATTAGTACAAATACCAGTGAGATAAGAGAACTCGGTGGCCTAAACATGTTCAGTTTTATCAGTTGAGCTGTGCTACCTGAATTAGGATGACAGCAGTGCTGGTCCAAGAAGTACAGAAAAGAGCAGGTTTGCTATGCATCTGGTTTATATTTTAATCAGCTTCTTAGATCTACTAGGTGCAAAATTTAAATATACCCTATTTGCCAACAACATGATTCTATATTTAGAAAACCCAAAAATGCCACCAGAAAACTTCTAGAACTCATAAATAAATTCAGTAAAGTAGGAGGATATAAAATTAACACCCATAAATCAATTGTGATCCTGTACACCAATGATGAATCAACTGAAAGAGAAATTTGGAAAACTATCCCAGTCACAATAGTCTCAAAAAAACTAAAATACTTGGGACCCAATCTAACAAAAGAGGTGAAAGACATCCTCAATATGAACTACAGAACACTATAGAAAGAAATTGAAGACCTTAGAAGATGGAAAGATCTCCCAAGGTTCTTGGTTAGGCAGAATTAATATAGCCAAAATGGCCATATTACCAAAAATGCTATACAGATTTAATGCAATTCCTGTGAAAATTTCAATGACATTCTTCATAGGTTTAGAAAAAGCAGCTGTGAAAATCATTTGGAAAAATAAGAGGCCCATAATAGCCAAAGCAATCCCTAGCAAGAAGAGTGAAGCAGGGGGCATCACAATACCAGACCATAAGTTACACTACAGAGTTATAGTCACAAAAACAACATGGTATTGGCACCAAAAAGACATGAAGACCAATGGAACAGAATAGAATCCTCAGAGACAAACCCACATAGAGTTATCTCATACTAGACAAAGGTGCCATAAACATACATTGGAGGAAAGATAGCCTCTTCAACAAGTGGTACTGGGAAAACTGGAAATCCATATGTAGCCAAATGAAACTGAACCCCTATCTCTCACCCTGCACAAAACTCAACTTAAAGTGGTTCAAGGAACTAAGCATTTAGACCAGAGACCCTGTGCCTACTAGAAGAAATGTAGGCCCAACTGTCCATCGTGTCATTTTAGGAACTGACTTCCTCAAGGAGACTTCTAAAGCACAAGAAGTAAAATCAAGAATAAATGGGATGGTATCAAACTAAGAAGTTCTTCACAGCAAAGGAAACCATCAAGAACATGAACAGAGAGCCAATAGAATGGGAGAAAATCTTTGCACCTTATACCTCAGAGCATTAATCTCCAAGATGTACAAAGAACTCAAAAAATCCTAACACCAAAACCCTCAAATAACCCAATCAATAAATGGGCAAAGGAACTGAACAGATACTTTACAGAAGAGTAATATGAATGGTTAAAAAATATCTGAAAAAATGTTCAACATCACCAGCAATTAGATTTTTCATCTCACTCCAGTCAGAATAGTAATTATAAAGAATACAAGTAAAAATAAATGTTGGCAAGGTTGCAGGGGAAAAGGTACACTCATAGATTGTTGGTGGGACTGCATATTGGTACAACTACTCTGGAAAGCAGTATGGAGTTTCCTCAGAAAACTTGGAATGGAACCACCATTTGATTTAGTTATTACCACTCTTCAGTATATATCCAAAGGACTTAAAATCAGCATATTACAGTGATGTAGCCACGTGAATGTTTATAGCAGCTCAGTTCACAATAACTAAGCTATGTAACCAACCAGGATGCCCTTAAACAGAAGAGTAGATAAAGAAAATGTGGCATATACACAATGGCATATTACTCAGCCATAAAGAAGAATGAAATTATGGCATTTGCCAGTAAATGGATGGAAATGGAGCCCGACATATGCTAAGTTTAATAAGCCAATCCCAAAAAACCAAAGGTTGAAGGTTCTCTCTGATATGCAGATGCTAATACACAATAAAGGGGGAGGAAGGAAGAATATAAGTTCATTGAATTAGACAAAAGGGAATGAAGGGAAGGGAGTAGAGATGGGAATAGGAAATACAGTAGAATGAAGCAGACATAACTTTCCTGTGTTCATATAGGAATACATGACCAGTGTAATTCTACAACATGTTCAACCACAAGAATGGGATCCTAATTAGAATAAATTAAACACTGTGTATGTATAATATGTCAAAATACATTCTACTGTCGAGTGTATCTTAAAAAGAGCAGATAAAAAATTTATCACAAAAATAAATTTGGATGTAGGAGATAACACTACTTTTTCTTTTGGTGCTGGGGATTAAACCGAGGGCCTTGCACATGCTAAGCACGTGCTCTACCACTGAGCCACACTCCTGATCCCACAACTACTATTTAAAAAACAGTTTTGTAAATTAAGCAAGTTGTGTATGGTTGAATGCCATTCAAATATTCTTGTTCTAGATCAGTTTGATAAGTCCTGGCTGTAGAAGGATCAGTTTGTATTTTGCAGTACTGGCGATTGAACCCAGGGCCTCACTCATGGTAGGCAAATTCTCTCCCACTAAGCTACATTCCTAGCCCTTTTTTAAATTTTGTTTTGAGTCAGAGTATTGCTAAGTTTCCCAGGCTGGCCTTGAACTTGCAGTTCTCCTGCCTCAGCTTCCTGAGATTACAGGTGTGTGCCACTGTGCTCATTTTAGGAGGATCAGTTTTAAAGTCAAGAATCACTCTAGTCAGTGCAGTCAATAAATATGTATGATCAATATGAAAACTTGAAGAGGATTCACAGTGGCTTAACCATTTTCCTGCTTATTATCAACTTGAATATATCTATGAATCTTTTTTTTTTTTTTTTAAATAGAGAAAGAGAATTTTTTTCTTTAATATTTATTTTTTAGCTTTTTGGTGGACACAGCATCTTTATTTTTTTTATTTTTATGTGGTGCTGAGGATCGAACCCAGCGCCCCGCACTTGCCAGGGGAGTGTGCTACCGCTTGAGCCACATCCCCAGCCCCATATATCTATGAATCTTAACACCTATTCTTTCTCATGTTTCTATAGTTTTTCCTTCCCTAATCTATGGATTGGGATTTGACATTAAACTTCATTTTCCTTTAACTTATCAGTTGTCCATTTTTCTCAGTGTTAAAAAAAAATATTTCACACATCTTGCTGATTCTGTAGTTTTGTACCAAATGCAGACCTAGTAAGTTTATTTTTGTATCATCAGGTAAAGTTAAGGCACAGTCTCTCCGCACTTACTCCTGTAAACCCTCATGATCTTCCTACATATATTTTTAAATTTAAAAACCTTCTGATATACAGTTTTTACAGGTGGACATGGAAGAGGGAAAGGATTGCTTCCTTCTTAGAAATAAACATTGGTTTGAATATTTAATCATTACAGCTTAGTTTATTTTTAGTGTTTTTGAAGTAATGAAAAGTTTTGGAAATAGTGTTAATGATCGTACAATGTTGTAGATGTACTTAATGCTACTGAGTTGTACACTTAAGAATGGTTTTTTAAAGTGGCTAATTTTATGTTACATATATTACTACAATTTAGAAAGATTAATAATATACCATAACCCATTGGTTTACACAACTTAAATGGGTGAAATGTATGGCATGTGACCCATATCTCAGTACAGCTGTTTTTTTTAAAAAAGAAAAGTATTGCTGGACTTGGTGGCTCATAACCTATAATTCTAGTAACTTGGGAGGTTGAGAGGTAGGAGGATCACAGGTTTATAGACAGCCTCAGCAACTTACCTGAGACTGTCTCAAAATAAAAGGGCTAGGCATAACCTCAGTTCAATCCCTAGTATGCCGGGGAGGGGGGACAATTCTAAGCTTAGTTGAATCTAAACCGTGAATGTCCACCTTGCTGAAGAGCATAATATTGAGATTCAGTGATTCTGTTTATGTAGAAAAATACTAAGGTGAAAATTCATACACAACTGGAAAATGCTGTCAGATGTGATACTACCATCATGTTCCCCTTATCAAGTAATGGCTTTGCAGTGAAAGCACACTGTGCACAGATGTTAGAATTTCAGTATGGGCTGGGGATGTGGCTCAAGCGGTAACTTGCTTGCCTGGCATACGTGGGCGCTGGGTTCGATCCTCAGCACCACATACAAATAAAATAAAGATGTTGTGTCTACTGAAAACTAAAAAAAAAAAAAAAAAAAAAATTAAAAATTCTCTCTCTCTCAAAAAAAAAGTATAGAAAACTAGTAATTTCTTAACTTTCCTCTGTATCATGGAGTCTTTGTAGTAGAAGACAAAGCCTAGTTTTAGTGGAAAGTGGAATAGAGAAGGCAGCACAGTGAGAAAAATACAGAAACATTTCTTCATAAAATTTTGCTTTCAGTAGTGTTGACCTAAATTTTTTATTAGTTGACTGTAGGTACACTATGACTTCTGTAAGTTTTATTTGCTTTTTAAGTTTTTAATTATTTGAAATACTGTAGTTATTTTGAACACAAGAGCTTCGATGGAAGTTGATTTGTCTCATGTTAAATGGTTTATTTGATTTGTTTTGACCTAGGCATGACATCTCCAACTTCATTATATGATAGGTACAGCTCCCCAACAGCCAGTACTACTAGAAGGCGGCTGTTTCCTGAGAATGACAGCCCCTCTGATGGAGGGACACCTGGGCGCATTCCCTCACAGCCCCTAGTCAATGCTGTACCGGTACAGAATGTATCTGGGGAGGCTGTTTCTGTCACACCAGTTCCTGGACAGACTTTAGTCACCATGGCAACTGCCACTGTCACGGCCAACAATGGACAGACAGTGACCATTCCTGTACAAGGTAAGGAAGAGTTGGATATTGAGTTCTCTGGCATTTATTGGAAAGTTACTTGAGGTTTGGCTAGAGGAGTAATGTCTGGAATAGAGAAGTGATGGGGAGAGGAACTTTAGGAGGAAAGAGAAAAAAGGAAACCTCTGCCAAGAGAACCTCATATTTTCAACATTTTCTTCTTGTCTTTTTTTCCCATGTTGTAACAAACTGGTGTAGGTATTGCCAATGAAAATGGAGGGATAACATTCTTCCCAGTCCAAGTCAATGTTGGGGGGCAGGCACAGGCTGTGACTGGCTCCATTCAGCCCCTCAGTGCTCAGGCCCTCACTGGAAGTCTGAGCTCTCAACAGGTGACAGGAACAACTTTGCAAGTCCCTGGTCAAGTGGCCATCCAACAGATTTCCCCCGGTGGACAACAGCAGAAACAAGGCCAGTCTTTAACGAGCAGCAATGTTAGACCTAGGAAGACCAGCTCATTATCGCTTTTCTTTAGAAAGGTAATTTTTTATGTATACCTTAACCAGAACATGAGCTGGGGATATATAAGTGTTAAACAAATTTTTAAATATTCTTATTTATTTATTAGGTATACCACTTAGCAGGTGTCCGCCTTCGGGATCTTTGTGCTAAACTAGATATTTCAGATGAACTGAGGAAAAAAATTTGGACCTGCTTTGAATTCTCCATAATTCAGTGTACAGAACTTATGATGGACAGACATCTGGACCAGTTATTAATGTGTGCCATTTATGTGATGGCAAAGGTGAGTGCCATTCAAGGCTAAAAAGGCAAGGGCAAAGATGTATGTCATTTCTCCAAACATTTACTTATATGTGGTGCTGAGGATCAAACCCAGTGCCTCACGCATTCCAGACAACTGCACTACCACTGAGCTACAGCCTCAGCGGCCAGACTGTTTTCTAATGTACTGTACCATTTTACCACCAGCAGTCTGAGGAGCCTTAATTTCTAAATCGCTTGGGATTGAACCCAGGGCCTTGTGCATATATGAGGCAAGCACTCTACCAACTGAGCTATATCCCCAGCCCCATAATATAACAATACTTTTTTTTTTTTCCCCATCCTTTCCAGGGATGGAAGTCAGGGGCACTCGACCACTGATCTACATCTCCAGCACTGTTTTTTTTATTTTATTTAGAGATAGGATCTCACTGAGTTACTTAGGACCTCATGCCTGGCCAATAATACTTTATTTAAATTAATGTTTTTAGTTGTAGATGGACACAGTACCTTTATTTTATTTATTTTTATATGATGGCAAGGATTGAATCCAGTGCCTCACACATACTAGGCAAGTATTCTACCACTGAGCTATAAGCCCAGCCCCACAATACCTTTTATCTTTGTTTTTAAAAAATATTTTTAATTTATTGAGTTGAAATTCACATTACATATACTTAACCATTTTAACTTAAACAGTTTAGTGGCTTTTAGTATTTACTATTCAGTGGCTTTTTGATATTTCATATCAATGGAATGGTATAACAATGGAGTTGTGGCTTAGTGGTAGAATACTTGCCTCGTAAATGTGAGTTTCAATCCTAGCACCACATAAAACCAAATAAAGGCACTGAGTCCATATACAACTTAAAAAAAAAAAAAAAAACCCAAAACATTGACCTTTTGTGTATTGCTTCTTTCGTTTGGGATAATGTTTCCAAAGTATATCCTTGTATCAGTACTCCATTCCTTGTTATAGCTGAAGTAGCGTCCATTGTGTGGTTACATTAGAATTTATCCATTCATTCATAGAGATACATTTGGGCTCTTTCCAACCCTTGGCTATTATAAATAGTGCTATTGTGAATATTTGTGTACTTGTTTGAGTGCCTATTTTCAATTTTTATTTAAATTTTTTTTATCTTGGGATAATGTCTAAGTTGCTGAGGCTGGCTTTGAACTTGCAATCCTCCTGTCTCAGTCTGGAGTTACTGGGATTACAGGTGTGTGCCACCACACTTGGCTGTTTTCAATTTTTTAAGAGTTTATACATAAAAGTGGAATTTCAGGGTCATATGGTAATTCTGTTTAACATTTTGAGGAATCATTTTACATTGCTCCTAGTAATGCAAGAGAGTTCTAGTTTCTCTATATCCTTGCCACCTTATTTTACATAGATATAATTCTTAGTTTGGGGTATTGAGTGTTATCTCACTGTGGTTTTGAATTGTATTTGTTCAATGATGTTGACCATCTTTCATTGTACCCTGTTGGCCTTTACATATGAATTTTGATTCCAGCCTTTCCAGTAGGTATGAAGGACTTTTTATGGTTTTGAATTCCTGCCTGATGATGATAAACAGCTTGTAATTTGCTCATTGGCCATTTGTGTATCTTGTTTGGAGAAGTACCTATTTAAATCCTTTGCTCATTTTAAAAATTGGATTATTTATTTTCTCCTGTTCTGTTATTTTTTCTTTTCTTTTGGGTGATTGATGATTGAACCTGGTGCCTCAAACATGCTTGGCAAGGGCTCTGCTACTAAGCTTCCCTTCCAGTCCAGTGTATCTTTTCACTTACTTGATAGTGTCATTTGAAGCTTTTACAAAAGTTTTTAATTTTGATGAAGTTCAGATACCTATTTTTTTGTTTTCATGTCTGACTCCATTGTCAAATCTTGAGAACCAATGTCATTTTATTTTTGCTTCTGAGTAATTTTTGTATATGCTATGAAATAAAAGTCCAGCTTCATTCTTTTGTGGCTTTCCAGCTACTCCAACCCCATTATTAAAATGACTATTTTTCCCCATTGAATAATCTTGGCACCTTTGTGGTTGATCAGACACACACAGACATTTAGGCTTATTTCTGCACAATTAGTTCTATTCTATCCATCTCTATCTGTCCTTATGTAGTACCATACTCTGATGACTGTTGCTTTTTTATAAGTTTTACTGGGAAATGCAAGTCCTCCTACTTTTATTTTCAATTATTTTGGTTGTGTTAGTCTCTTGAAAATTCCATGTGAATTTTAGAATCAAGTTGTCAATTTAACAGTCATCTGAGATTTTGATCGGTTACACCGAATCTGTATTTTGGTTTAGGGAGTTTTGCCATCTTAAGTCATTTGATCCTTGAATATGGCATGCTTTTAACATTTATTTAGATCTTTTTTAAATGGTCTTTCAACAATGTATTACACTTTAAAAAGTATGACTTTTGCTCTTTTGTTCTATTCATTCCTATATATCCTTTTTGATGCTATTGTAAATGTAACTTTCATTTTTGGTATGTTCTCTGCAAGTGTGTAGAAAAAACTGATTTTTGTATATTGGTCTAATATCTAGGAACGTAGCTGAACTTATTAGTTCTAATAGATTTTAATTGATTCCTTAGACTTTTTCATGTATAATTTGATTTCTTGTCCAAATTAGATACTTTTTATTTCCTTTATCCCAGCTACCCTTCCCAACTATCTTGGCTAAAACCTACAATGTTAAATACAAAAGTTGAAAGCAGAAATCTTGTCTTTTCCTAATTTTAGTTAAAAAAAATTTAGATACTCAACTATGAAGTCTGACTTTCATTATTTTCTTGGATGCCTTTTATCAGATTGAGGAAGCTCCCTTTATGTTCCTAGTTTGTTGACTGTTTTATCATAAAAAGGTGTTAGTCTTTTTTTTTTTTCTGATTTTGTTTTACTTACTCTAATCCACTGATTTTCTTATGTTAGACCGGCCTTGCATGCCAATGTTAAGTCCTTTTTGGTCTCGTTGATAATTTTTATGTTGCTAGGTTTAGTTTACTAGTAGTTTGTCCTTATTGCTAAGGATAGTATCTTCAGATGGACTTTTTTCAAGGACTTTGTAAAGATATTTCTAATATCTTAACATCCTTTTATAATGTAGGCATTAACAGTTATAACATACACTGCATATTTATCTCTAAGTATTTTTGAATTTCCCTTTTGGTTTCTTTTTGACTTATTTGTTATCTAGGAATATGTTAATTTCTACATTTTTCCTGAATTTCTTTACTGACTTCTAGTTTCATTTCACTTTGGCTGAAAAAGAAAACATTGTATTATTTCAGTCCTTTTAAATATATCAAGGTTTTATAGCCTTGTATATGGTCCTTCTTGGAGAATTTCTTTTGGAGCAGAATGTCGTTAGACTTTAGCACTACGAAACAACTAGACCTATTTCTTTTTTGAGCTTCTGCCTCAGTCATCTTTTATCCATATTGAAAGTAAATTTAAATCTCCAAATATTGTTGAAATTTTATATTTTCCCCTTCATTTCTGGGTTTTCGTTGTTTTGTGATACCAGAGATTGAACTGAGGGCCTTTCATATGCTAGGCAAGCACTCTACCACTGAACTACACCCCTAACCTTGGTTCATGTAACTTAGTACACTATTAACGTGTGTGCTTGTTTACTACTTCCTAGCATAACTTCCTGATGGACTGATCTTTTTATTATGAAATATCCCATATCCCTCTTTAACAGCTTTTTTTTTTTGTTTTTTTTATAGTGTGATACTTGTGTAGTTGTAGTCTGCTAAATCTGTCTTTTCAGTTTACTTCAAATATATATGTGTTTGTGGGAGAATCACTTTAGCACTGAGCTATCCTCCAGCCTTTTTTTGAGGGTCTTGCTAAGTTGCTGAGGTTGGCTTGAACTTGAGATCCTGCTTCAGCCTCCCAGAGATTGCTGGGATTTCAGGCATGTGCCACTGCACCCAGCTTGTATTATTTGAGGGGTGGGGGTACTGGGGATTGAACTATGGCACTCAACCACTGATTCACATCCCCAGCCCTATTTTTTAGAGACAGGATCTGAGTTGCTTAGTGCCTCACTGTTGCTGCTTTGAACTTGTGATCCTCCTGCCTCAGCCTCCCAAGTACTGGGATTCCACCATGCCTAGCTTGTATTTTTGAATCTAACACATCTCCTATAAACAGGATACAGTTGGATCTCATTTCTAGTCTGACAATCTCCACCTTTTGACTATTCAGTTCATTCACTTTAATGTTGATATAACTGGTTTTACATTCCTTTATTCTTTTTGCATTGTTTTTTTTTAATGTTCAATTTTAATTTTAGTAATGAATTTTTACACCATATTGTTTCCTTAGTGGTTGTATTGTTTACATATTACAAATCGAACAGCTACTTGGCATTGATATACTTGTATGACTTTTAAAAAAAAGTAATGTATTTATAGTTTGCTATATTAACCTTATTTTCATTTCTTTCTCTTATTGGTTCTCATGGATTCTGGAATCATTTATTTTATCCAATACAGCTTTGCTCCTATGTACCTCCTTTCTTTGTAACAGCTCCAACAATACATCATATACATATTTTATATAATTGTTTTTAATCAAGAGAAAAATATGCCTTTTTAGTGTCTTTATAATTACATAATGTCTTTGTGAAAAAGGCCAAGAACACTGGCATATATTTGGATTACTGTCCAGACACACTTATTTTTAGCTTCAAGAACTTTCTGTAATATTAAGCTGCTAGCAAGCACATTCTGGTTTTGAGGATATATTTCATTTATGGAAGATTAAATATGTTATCTCATTATCTCTTGACCTGTATAGTCTGTTATTTTATCGGGGTTTCCCTGTAAATGAAAAAAAGAAATTGCTTTTCTCACTAATGTTCTCTATTTGGCTTTCTGCATTTTTACTATGATATATTGAGGCATGGATCTGTGGATCCTTGGAGTTTCTTGAGCTTCATAAATATGTACATTAATGTTTTAAAAATCACTTGGGAAAATTTCACTCTACTTCTCTGAACACTTGCTTCTCTATTCTCTCTTCCTTGGTACTCCCATTACACATAGTCTCAGAAATGTACACACCATGCCATCTGTTCTTTAGATCACAGGATCTCTTTATTCAATTTTACTAATTCTTTTCTGGTTCAAATTTACTATTTTTCTCCTATAGTTTGTTTTTAATTTTAGTTACTGTACTTTTCTACACCAGATCTTGGTTCACATGCTAGAATCCTCTTATTGAATTTTAGATTTTCTTGAATAGATGTTTTTTCATTTGCTATATATCCTTAGGACCATTTCCAGAGACTTTAAATCACTGTTTTTAAATACAATTTTTACTACTTGCTATGGAAAGCAGATTCACTGAGCTCCTCACACTGTCATGCTGGAAGTTGATCTGAGTACTCTCATTCTTTGCCAGGTCACAAAAGAAGACAAGTCCTTCCAGAATATCATGCGTTGTTACAGGACTCAGCCACAGGCCAGAAGCCAGGTAACTGTAGGCTGAAAATTAAGCTTAAAGTCTGTGACGAATACAAAGATTAATCTTTCTTTAGTCACTGACAAAGAACTTCACATGTTGGTAAAGTCCTCTTTTCTTTCAAGGGCAACATTATGGAATATTTCTTTATTCACAGAACCACTAGATAGAAATTAAGTTATCTGAGTAAACACTATTGTACATTTAACCAAGATAGTATTAATTAAAATTTAAAACCCATTTTTCTTTTAATACCATTTCTCAAAGGCAAGAATGCTGGATCTTTGTAGATGAATTGAATTTTATGGTTGGGTGCTATTATGCTCTGTGGTATGTTAGGAAGTACATGGAATCTGAAGCTAGACAGGCTCTGATGTAAATCCTGTATTTGTTATTTAATAGCTGTGTGCCTGACCATGGCTGCATTTCTTAATATCCCCTGAGAAAGATGACTCCTACTCACTGTTGTGAGAATTAAGTAACATGTCAAGGTTCTACTAGTTAGGATGCATTTAATAAATACTAGTTTCTGTGACATTCTGTCTCTTTAAAGGTGTATAGAAGTGTTTTGATAAAAGGGAAAAGAAAAAGAAGAAATTCTGGCAGCAGTGAAAGTAGAAGCCATCAGAATTCTCCTACAGAACTAAACAAAGATAGAAGTAAGTAGATCTCTATGACCTCAAACAAAAGTAGGCTCTTATTTTTTTAGGCCTGGGAGACTAAGAATTACTATAGAAAGTGCTTTCTTGACAAAGAATCTGCTAGAAAAATAAATTCTAAATTTAGTGACAGTTCTTCATTTCATTATTCTGAGACAAAGTGCATACCATTTTTCTCCAGGGGAATTAGAAAAGGCTTCAGACAGGAATCTGCTGGCATCTCATTTGGAGCTATGCTATGGAAATGCCATCCCTAGTTATTGATTTGCACCACTTCGTGCAGGATTCAGATCCTAGGAAACTAACCGACCGCTATACCTGTGCTCCAGTTATGGCATGGGAGTAAAGTTATTTTCTGAGATTTGCTTCTTAGTGGGAAGTTTGTTTTTCATACCAAGTAGTGTAGGTAGCTGTTCAGCTTTTTGCTACTGAATTTTCTTTTTTTAAACGATCAGTACTAGCAACCTTTGTGTTTAACACTCTTTGTAGCCAGTAGAGACTCCAGTCCTGTCATGAGGTCAAGCAGCACCTTGCCAGTTCCACAGCCTAGCAGTGCCCCTCCTACACCAACTCGTCTCACAGGTGCCAACAGTGACATGGAAGAGGAAGAGAGAGGAGACCTCATTCAGTTCTACAACAACATCTACATAAAACAAATTAAGACATTTGCCATGAAGTACTCACAGGCAAACATAGTAAGTTTCACAACAGTATTTTTTTTACTCCAGAGGAATGAATAATCATTTATATTTGACCTGTTTGTGTACAAGCTAGATTTATAAGCAACTATCAAGTACAACTAAGGAAGTCTTCAAGAGAAGACATTTGCCTATCCAACATCATTGATAATAAGATTGTATTTGGATTCCCTGCAAAATACGAGATAGTTACATGGATTTAAATTATCCAATATTTAAGGGTGGTTGTGATCTTACCACTTATTTTCTCATAAAATGGGAATAGAAGTAAATGAGGCATAAAGAAGTTTCCAGCTTATAAGGTTGTTGCAAGGATGAGATGATGACAATAATGGATTTAAAAATGCTTAAAGCGGAGATGGGCATAAACTAAGCACTTAAGTTTGCTGCTCATCTGACTTTCTTTAGGGTCTGATTGTTGCTAATACATCACCGTTTACCATTTATAAAACTACTTTCTTATTACCTTTTAAAAACTTTCTACTCAGGTATTTTAAGTAAATGAGTTTCTTACAATTACTGATTTTGTTTTTAACAGATGGATGCACCTCCACTCTCTCCCTATCCATTTGTCAGAACAGGCTCCCCTCGCCGAATTCAGTTATCTCAAAATCATCCTGTCTACATTTCCCCACATAAAAATGAATCAATGCTTTCACCCCGAGAAAAGATTTTTTACTACTTCAGCAACAGTCCGTCAAAGGTGAGACTGACATAAATGTCCTTTACAAACCCTAAAATGCTTTTAGGATGCTCCAAGTAGGGTTTGGGCTTATCCTAGGCACTCACTAAAGTGATGAGAACTGCCAGGGAACAGTGGCCCGTAAGTCTATGCAGCAAAAACCAGAGTGTTTTTTTTTAGTTGTATATGGACTCAGTGCCTTTATTTGGTGCTAAGATTGAACCTAGTGCCTTACACTTGTAGCTCAGTGGTAGAGCATTTGCCTTGCAACTCCAGCCCATGGTTGGAAACAGGTAAAGGACTCAGATTTATATTTATCTACTCCCCCATCACTACTTCTATTTGTGTATTCCTGGAGATCGTAAGGTTTATAGGCTTGGAATCTTAAAAGTATCCCATTCCTTAGAAAAAATGTATATAACTTACTGAAAATTAATTTAGTATAAATGAAGATATATCAGTGCTTCTGAATAAGACTCCTGTATTAAAAAGGTAAAGTTTCCAGTTATATTCCAAGCTGGATTGTTAATGGAACTCAGAACTGGTAATTATAACCTCTTAAAAAGTGAAGTGGGGGGGAAATGACTAACATTGGAGTTTATTTGGTTAAAAGGAATGACTAGAATGTGGTACACATTGTCTAAGTATCAGTCGTCAGAAAAGCAGCAAAGGAGATGAACTAGAATAATTCAAAAGACCAAATAGGAAAAAGTCAAGACCAAACCATGTGCTGCTTCTAAATAACCTTTAAAATAAAAGAATAACGCAGATGTCCAGTAACTGATGAAAAAAGTTATCCATACAATAGAATATTATGTGGCAATAAAAAGGAGTGAACTACTCATACATACTTCAACGTGGATGGACCTGGAAAAATTTGCATGTTATATGATTCCATTTATGTGCAACTATAGTGGCAGAAATAGATTAGTGTTTGCCTAGAAGGGAAAAGTTTCCAATTATCAACCTAGATAGAAGCTACTTCCTCAAAGAGTCCACAAATCTCGGAAACATACCAAAACCCATGAAGTTGTTACACTTTATGTGGATGAACTATATCTCAATAAGGATGTTTAAGAATGGAAAAAGCTATACCATGTTGCTTATTAATAGATACCCCTAATTAAAGGAAAGGTAGAGTAACATTAAGTAGATTTCAGGATGTATCAGTGATATTAGTGAGATTATACAACCCTCAATAGCTGCAGTAACTGATGTGTGCCACCAGACTGAAATTTTTCTTTTCTACTCTGGTGGCTGAGGCAGGAGGACTACAAGTTCAAAGCCAGTGTGGGCAATTTAGCAAGACACTGAAATAAAATGAAAGGACAGGGATGTAGCTAAGTGGTAGAGTACCTGTGTTCAATTCCCAGTACCATGAGAAAGACAAATATTCAACATAATTGATTATATCATAAGGATATAAACATAAGGCTGATGAGCTGACATCTACAGAACATTCTCATAGCATCAACTATACGTGAAACATTTAAAAACAACCACATTCTGGACAAATCTCAAACTTTTTTTTTGATAGTTCTGGGGATTGATCCTAGGGACTCACACATACTACATCCTCAGGCCTAACAAAATTTGTTTTACTTGCTTTTGGAACTGAGTATTGAACCCAGGGGCACATCTCCAGCTCCTTTTATGTTTGAAATAGGGCCTTGCTGAGATCTGAGGCCGACTGTGTGTATGGGATCCTTCTGCCTCTGTGTCACTGGGATTATACACGTGCATCACTGTGCCTGGCTCTGAATACATTTTAATGTATTTTTTCAATTTTTCTGGTTATGATGGCATCAAATCCGATATCAGAAATGATATCTGGAAAATCCAGTTTTTGAAAAGTAAATCACAGATTTCTATGGGTCAAAGCAACTAGAAAATAGACTATTGAAAATGAGATCCCAAACTAAGCACCATGTTAGCTGTGTCCCACAAATTAAAGAGAAATTTATAGCACTAAAAATATCTATTAGAAAAGAAGGGGTTAAAATTAGTGATCTGAGTTTAAACTAGAAATCAGGAATCATTGAAATAGAAAACAGATCCCACCCAGAGAAATCAAGGCACTTTTAAAGGCTAGTTTTGTTTGTTTTTTGAAGAAAAGAATTTCAAAAACTGATCTCTGTGTAGATTCATCAGGAAAAAGAATGACACATTACCAGTATACACTAAGGTATAATGAGGATTAAGAAACAATTTTTTTTTTTTGACAATACAGATGAAATGGACCTAAACTAATAAAAGTCACTCAAGAAGTAGCAGCCTCAAAACTGTAGGCCCAGACAGCTTTTACTGTTCTACCAAACATGTGAGAAATAATGCCAGTTCTATACAAATGAAGGAAAACAAATTACAAAATTCAACATTCATTCAAGGGCAAACTGTGGGAACACCCTGAGAGAGGGTGATAATGAACACAAGCCAAAATAGCTATAGACAACAACATCCTTAGTGGTGAAAGACTGAATACCTTTCCCTAAGATCAGGAATCGGGCAAGGACGTCCACTCTCACTTCTACTCAGCATTGTAACTGGGTTCACACCATGTGTAATCAGGCAACATAAAGAAGGCACACAGACTGAATTATGTACAGAAAAAACACCAAGAATTGAAGGTTTCTGAAATTAAAAGATTTAGGAGGTTATAAAACTCCATATGGAAAAATAAAAGATTTCTACACACTACTAATGAAGAATCAGAAGTAAAAAAATTAAATGCCAAAAATACATTTAAAAATTAAGTATGAGACATAAAACTACACACCTTTGTTGAAAGAAAGCCTGACAAACTAGAGAAATGTTCATGATCTGGAAAACAGATATCAGTTTGCGCCCAGTTGATCTACAAATTAGACCCCATTTCACCCCAAATCCTAGCACAATTACTTGTATAAACTGATGCTAAAATGTATGTATGGAAGGGCAAGGGAAATACAATAACTAAAAACAACTAAAAACAATTTTGAAAAAGTTGGAGGAGTTGTACTATCTAGTTTCAAGACTCACACTAAAGCTATACTAATTGAAACAGTGTAGTGCTTCTCAAAGTATAGACAGATCACTGGAACATGCAGAAGCTGAGCAAGTACATGCGGTCAGCTGATTTTCAACAAAGGTGATAAAAACCTGGATATCTATATGATAGTAAACTTAATCCTGTACCCTGCACCACATAAAAACTCAAACCAAAGAGGACATCTAGAAAAAAAAAAATCTTGACATGTGTTGTGGAATGATTTCTCAGATACATCAAAGCACAATCCATTAACTATATTGTATTTTATCAAAATTAAGAACTTCTCCTTAAAAGTCACTTACAAGAATGAAGAAACAAATCATGGAAATTAGAAGGTATTTACAAATCCCAAATCTGATAAGGACACATTTACAATATATAAAGAATTCTCAAACTCAAATGGAAAGATAAACCACCTAAGGTAACAAGTTGGCCCAACATTTGAACACACCCTCCCATTACATGCCTACTGGAATGACTTTATACAATGGCAAGAACAAGTCCTGGCAATGAGGTGGAGCAGCTGGAACTTTTCTATGCTGCCGGTGAAAATGCAAAATGGTAGTCTTCTGGAGTTCAGCGTAGCAGTTTTCTTCTAAATGTTGAACATACCCTTACCACACAACCAGTAATCTTATTCCTAGGTACTTACTCAAGTGAAAGCTTATGTTTATGGTGACTTTACTCCTAACCAAAAAGTATAAAAATGGAAATGTCCTTCAGCCGGTTAATGGGTAGACCTGCAGTGCAGCAGAAAATGAACTACTTTACAATAAAGAAGTGATACACTCAACAATATGTATGAATCTCAAATGCATTAATGCCTAAGTGCAAGATATGTACCAGGCTACTTATCATGATTCCATTTCTGACATTCTAGAAAACAAAACTATAGGACAGGAAACATCAGTGCTTGCTTAGAAGTAGGTGGACCACAGGGAGATATGAAATGTTTTAGGTTTCTGTTATGGTATTCATACAACTAGGTATTTGTTTAAATATGCAGATATACTAAAAGGCATTGTACTGTATGTAAACCCAAGGTGGGGAACCAGTATTTTGTGTGAAAAGGAATTAAGCATCCAGATTGATTATTTCAATCCTGCATCTGTAGTATCACCAAAAGAAATTCTAACCCAGAATTGGGAGTTTCTTCAATAAATGATAGCAACTATGAAGCTGTTAGGTGGAGAAACAGTCATCATGATGACTTAATAGGTGATGACTGAGAACAGGGGAGAACATTTCAAAGCAAGAAGTAATTTGGGTCTGCAGCCAATTTGTAGTAAACATACTACCAGGAGAAAAGAATCAAGTATCACACAAGGTCAATTAAGATGAAGACTTATTAGTAATTATAAGGGCTATTTCAGTGGATTACTACAGTTAATTGAAGAATAAGTCAGAATTATATATTTAATTATAGTAGTATAACTGTTTAACAGCATTAAGCAATTCTGATGATTAAGTAGTATATAATACATCAATAGAGGATTAATCTATGATAGCGACATACTACAAAATACTATAAAGCTGTTAGTTGTGATGGACCATATATACTGATATGGGAAAAAACCTAAGGTGTTGAATGTGCAAATATTCTGAATAATATATAAGTATACTATTTTAAAACCCCATTACCCCAGTACAATATTACATTTCTAGGAATGAGTGCATTCTTAGAAAACAGAAGGATATAAAGCATGCCAATTTGTTTAGACACAAATAGATGTGCATCTAAGTGATTGTGACATGGCAATAACTATTGTAAAAAAAACATAGTATGCATCCATGGGGCTTGGGTAAGGATAGAGAGTCTAGGTGTAGTCTGTATGTTTCCTTTGGAATAAGAATTTATGTTTAAAATGTTTTGTATTTAAATGAATTATGTACAAAATATTGAGTATTAATTTATATACAATTAACATCACAATATACTATATTAGTGTGTTCCATATATCTACATATTTTATAGTAACCTTTGTACAACCTGGCATTATATGGTTAATGTATTCAGTAAATATAAGGAATATCTAGGTAAGTGGGACACTACAGAGAAAGCAAATGCAGACCAGAGTTCTTTTAGGGAGGCCAAAGAAGATGGAATAGAAAGGGTCAAAAGAAATTTCTTCAGATGTTAAGATTTGTGAAAGTGCATATACTGATAAAGAACACTTGTGATTTTATTTAAAATCTCAAGTCGATAATTGCAAAGTAAAGAATGAAGTGATAACAGTTTGTGTAGAGGATGAGAAGTGAATGGGATGTAGATCAAATAAGACCAGCCAGAGTTTCTGAAGTGGGGTAAGGAGCATGTGGGGATTCATCATGTTGGTTTCTCTACTTTATGTTTGAAATTTCCTAAATTAAACATACATGAATATGCTTAGTATGATTTTTGTGAAGAAACATGGATAATGAAGCAGCACATGAAATAGATTTTTTTTTTTTTTTAAACCAAGAAAATAGTATTGAGAAAAGGCTTGTAGGACTCTGGAGAAAATGCTAAAGGCACTTAAGAGTCTCTCTAGCACTCCCTTGCTCCACTGAGCCAAAAAGAACACAAAGGAATTTGAGTAACTTCTCAGTTCTTCCAAGGATAACATACCTACCTAGCACCAAACTCGGCTTACTAATTCATTAAAATGAAATAGCCTTAGGGAATTCAGTCTTACTTCTCTAGTGAAATCCTGGTTGAGAAGTTCTGCTTAAAAAAAAAAAAAGTACTTCATGTTTGTAGAAACATGTCAAAATACAGCTGTGTGGCACTAGCATTTTCAAGTTTTTATATGTTTTCTCCCCCACCATAGAGACTGAGAGAAATTAACAGTATGATACGGACAGGAGAAACTCCAACTAAAAAGAGAGGGATTCTTTTGGAAGATGGAAGTGAATCACCTGCAAAAAGAATCTGCCCAGAAAATCATTCTGCCTTATTACGCCGTCTCCAAGATGTAGCTAATGACCGAGGTTCCCACTGAGGTTAGTCCCTGGTATTGAAACTGTCTTTCACAAACTGTTTTGCAGCATCATTTAATGCATGCTAGATTATGGAGCCCGTTTCCTTAATCCAGCTAGTTAGAGTCTATTAGAAATAGGAAGGGGCATTTTTATGAGAACTAGACTTACTCTTTTCAAATGTGAGAGGTCTCTTAACAGGTTCCAGCAGAGGAATTGTATTTCAAATTCATTCCTACCTGTTTGTGGTCAGCTCTAGTTCTTATGAAAAGCAAAACAAAATTTAAGTACTTCGTTCTCAAACAGGAGTGTGAAATTTCTACATTTATGAAACAAAGGAGATGGCTCAGATTCCCCAGGTCACTATAGCATAAGTCTCCTGTCCCCTGTGGTGCACTTCTCCCCTTCCCCAGTAGTGTGGTGCAGTTGTGCAATGTCTGAATGAACCTGTATAAGTGGCGGCACTTTAGGGCTGTAAAATGCATGATTTTGTAACCCAGATTTTGCTGTATATTTCTGATGGCACTTTCTACAATGTGAACTTTATTATTTTCTTTAACTCTTTTGTACTTTTTTAAACTGTTATATGCCCTAGTAGCCACCTTTTGGGCATGCTTTTTAAATTCTCCAGTTGTTGTTATTTAGGGATCAGCTGGCTAAGGAAACATTTTTAAATCAAGTTTAATTGAAAGAATTAATATGAAAAATTATGACCTCTTTAGGAGGTAGTTATCCAAAAGACATGTAAAAGTATGTTCCTGGCAGTCTAAAAAATAGGTTGGAGAATTTAGGTTTTTATTAGTACATAGTACCATTTATACAAATTAGAAAATATTATTTAACAGCTATTGAACTATCTATATATACACCTTTATTAATCACTATTGCTCCAGCAGTTTTAAAGTTGAATTAATAATCTTATTAGGGAAAAAATTCAATTGTAAATTGAATCAGTATAAACAAAGTTACTAGGTAACTTCATATTGCTCTAAAAGAAATATGGAACTTACACTGTTCAATTAGAATAGTGTTCTGCAAAAATATTTATAAAAACCTCAAGATACTGCTACTGTAATTTTATATCAAAATAAGTGTATTTTTCAATAAAGCATTTATAAAGTCATCTTTGTTTAGTTATATTGAGAAAGGGTGTTTAGTTTCCTATATAAATGACAAAGAACAATCATTTATTGGTTTATTTTCGTATCTACTAAACACATTAGTCAATCATCATTTAAATATCTGACTTCATTAGAAACCGTTTTAACACTTTTTCTCCCTCCTGCCATAAAAATACAGTTAAGTAATTTGTTTAAAAAAAAAAAAAAATACTAAGATCAAGTGTTCTGGTTTCCTCTCTAAAACATTCCTCAGAGACAGCAGGCTGAAGACTGAAACAATCTTCCACTTAAAAGTGCCAAGCTCTAGAATCTGCTCTCTAAACCTGTCCTCTCCATATGCTAACACATGTACAAATGAAACCACTGACTTAAAACTATTAAATAGTTCTGATTTCTGTCTGCTCAGTTTAAATGAATGCAACTTACCTTTAGCATTGTATTCAGAAAAATACATAAGTCTCAAGGTCCCCAATAATTTGGAGTACTGAACTAGATAACCACCCTAAGACACTTCTGACAGAAGTAATGCATTACTTAAAGAGAGGTTTCCAAACCTGCTGTTAGAACCTACACATACATAGAAAACACTGATACCCAGTTATGGTTCACACGGTTTACTCTTCAGGCAGTCCTTTGCCATTAGTCTGCTTTAACTAGGCCAGAGTCCAGCAGGAAAGTGCACAGTGCACCAGATTCACCATCTCTTAAGTTGCTACTGTTTTCTCTTCTTTACTGAAGGGTTGTACTGAGCCAGGCTTTACCCATGACAGGCCAGCAACATGAACACTTTTATTGTGCTGTTCTTCAGGCTTCTTCTAGGCACAATCAAAAACAGACATTAAAAAAAGATGACTGATGAGGAGAGTGCAGCATGGTACAGACTTGTTTCCCCAAAAGTTATTTTTGTGTAATGAAGGTCTCAAGTAAAGATGTTTTAGAAAAGAAACAGCAAGTTAACCATCTCAAAGATGGTTTCTACTTACTTTCTGCGTTAGCATCTTCTCTCTGGCTTCATCATGTACAGAAGGATTCCATGGAGAAAAGCTTAAGGGGCAGAAAGTATTAAAAACAATCAGTGGCTTTATAAACGTGTATAATCTCCATTTTTCAAAAATGAAGCCAATTCTAAAAACTTAATTAAAAAATATTTTATTGTAGATGGACATGATACCTTCACTTTATTTTTAGTTGAAGGACCTTTATTTTACTTATTTATATGCAGTGTTGAGATCAAACCCAGTGCCTTACATGCCAGACAAGTGTGCTACCGTTGAGCCCCAGCCCTATTTATTTTTATGTGGCGCTGAGGATTGAACCCAGTGCCTCACACGTGCTAGGCAAGCGTGTTCTACCACTGAGCTACAACTCCAGCCCTTAAGGAATATTTTTAAAGAATAATCTTTCCTCAGTTGTTAAAATGTTTTAGATGTTTCATATAAATGATCTTCCCATATTAGCCATTCCTTACACAAGGATTACCTAAGCTTCACATAATCCCTAAAATACTATTATCTCAAGTTCAAAGCCAGCCTCAGCAACAGTGAGGCGCTAAGCAACTCAGTGAGACCCTGTCTCTAAATAAAATACAAAATAGAGCTAGGGATGTGGCTCAATGGTCGAGTGCCTCCGAATTCAATCCCCGGGTCCACAAAAAAAAAAAAAGAAGAAGAAGAAAGCAAGGTACAACAAAATCGAGTAATTGCTCTGGGTCACCAAAGAAAAAACTACCAAAGCCAGTCCATCATCTGTTGAGCCCATGCTCTTAACAACTATACCACAGTGCCTTTCTGGCAGTGCAAATGTTGCCAAAGAATTCACCAATTCCTTAGTTCTCCAAATTCTTTCAGCTGCTTTTCCCCCCAAGATCCAACATCATAGTGTTACAAGAACCCACCATGCTCATACCACTCAGTTTCCCTCTTTTTAACCAAACCTGAATGGTGGTAGGAGTATGGCAGTTAAAGAGAACAGCTCAAACTGCCAAATAAAAAGTCTTCACATGGGAGTGAATTACCATATCACAAGGGTCCTTAGGAAAAGAAGTCACTACATATTTTGCTATTGGCACAACGTGCAGACAATATGAAGCATTAAGAGGCCACAAAGCACTGGAAATTGTTCTGACACCAAGATACAAAGGCCATAGGCTAACAGATCATACAAATTCTTTTTTTTTTTTCATTCAAAGGCCACCTGGAAAATCTAAGTGCAGTACTAAAAAGAACCATTCATCTAGATATCGTACCACTTACCTAATTGCATAGGGGTCTTCTATTTTAGGTTGGTCAAACAAACGAGCAGTGCATACCTTAACACTGTCAACCACTTTACTTTTAAAAAGCTGAATGTCCTTTTCATACCTGTGTTAAAAGTTTAAATCAAAAAATTATCAACTTAATCTACTTAGCTGGATTTTAAAATTTATCTTAAATAACCAAACAAAAAAGTCACGTACAAGACTGCAGCCTCTGGGTTTAGGGGGCTTGCTGTATCAATCTTGTAGAAAACTCTCCTTGCATACATTAATACTTGCCAAATATGATTATGGTTTCGCCTAAAAGGAAACATGGTATCATTACTAAGGCTTGCTCCTATGATCTTATGTCTCTAGAAGAAACGCCGATTTACTGACCTCCATTTTGCAAATGCTCTCTTCACATCCAGTTCACCCGAGGTGGGATCAACTAGCGGGTGAAAGACAGGAATATCAAACACCAAGCGCTGTGTTTAAAGAGAGACATGTCCTTTAATGGAAGCATTGGAACTTATGAGACAGATCCTTAAAGATAGTCACCAAAGGAGCTTCAAGGCAACAGGGCAGTCATGTTTAAAAAGTCACAAAGCTGCTCTAAGAAAGATACTGAGCTACTTTTAACCATTCAGTGGGGGAAAAGGTCACTCTCTTCAACTGCAGCATGACAAGTGCTGTCCATGTATAAGTGCTGCAGTACAACATCCAGCCTCATTTGAACACCCCAAGCAGAGAAAGAATGAAGCTCGTGGCCGAGCACCCCATGACCAAAGACGCAACAAAGCACCAAAACCCCACTGGGAAGACAAATGTTCAGGAAAACTGAAATTGTTAAAGCATTCGGTCAGGAAGAGAACCAAAATAAGAAATCCCTAGGCCCTTTAGTTCTCCCTTGGTGAATGGAGCCCCACAAACAAAGCCACACTGTCTCCTACTTACTGGACAGTCACCATCTGGATAGTTATCAGGGATGTAAACTGTGAACTTGAACACACCATCCTGATAAAGCCCATGCCGTATGAATATTACTCCAAACCACACTGCAGGAAAAAAATAAAAAAGGTTAAGCCCTAACTGTGTCAGAGGAACCAAATATGCTATAAAGTAAGAGTGAATCTTATCTTACTTAACGCAGAGCGGTAAGATGGCTGCACATAGACGCCTGGCAACTTCTGCTTCACAACCAAGGTACTAAAACAAAAGCAGTATAACAATTAACTTGTATGGATGCCAATGGCATATACAGATCAAACCATCCTAAATTGAGACTAGGAATCATCCCTTAAGGGGCAGGTGACACCCAAACCATACAAGCCGAGTCATCATGTCTTTCACCTGACAACTCTGATCACTGCCGGCTTACTGGCTTCATAACCAACTCACAGAATCTCAAGCCAATGAAGGGCCCCATATTAAGAAAGTCAGGGAAGCTGGGCACAGTGGCGCACACCTGTAATCCCAGCAGCTCAGGAGGTCTGGGGATGTGGCTCAGTGGTCAAGGGCCCCGAGTTCAATCTCTAGTAACTGCCCCCTTTGCAAAAAAAAAAAAAAAAAAAAGAGCCAGGGAGGGTTTTACAAATAATCAGGTTTTACTGCCAGAAATCAGCTTCCCAAAAATATCATCTTGGAAAAAAATCAGCCTATAGGTAGAGTTTTGAATAATACAACGTGGTCAAAGTTCAAAACATTAAATTTGATGTAGATGAGAGTATCTATAAAATTATTGCTTTTGTTATTGTAGATGATGGATCTTATACACATTCAAAAGTTGTTTTTTATTATTAAGACATGATTAATATTTTCCTTTTAGGCTCCAGCAAATTATACCACTAATGCTAACAGATGAGTTGTATTAGAATAAAACACGAGATAGAAATATAATTTTTTTTTTTAAGTTGGCAATGGACCTTTATTTTTTTTATATGTGGTGCTGAGAATTGAACCCAGGGGCTCACACATGCTAGGCAGGCGCTCTACCAAAGAGCCACAACCCCAGCCCAGAAATTTTAAACTGCTTTTAATTGCAATTTTAGGCAATTGTTAAGATTCCACAAACTCATCACTTAGTTGTCCTTTTCAGTTTGAATCACCAGAACCACGGTGTCACTTGGTGAAGACGGGCATCATTGTGAGTTCTCAAGCTGTACTCTACTCCCAAATAGCTAACTCCCTAACGCAGACACTTGAACTCTGCGGTCCTTGCCAGTGAGTGGGAAACTGTGCTGAAAACAAGGAAAGACAAGTCTATCAACAGAGGTGTCACTAGTTTTTCTGGGACCCAATAACCCACCAACAGCCATTGTGTCCTCTTGCTTGCAACTGCAGCTACATGCTGTGATCTGACCTTGAAAAGAACACTGTTCACCTAGGGCTTAATGTTTACCTGCTGCCTGAATTCTATAAAGTAGTAGTTTATTGGGCCTTATTACTTTTATTACCTAGTTGCCATCACATTCATTTTTTTAAGTTCTTATCTATTCTAAGTCACTAAAATTCAGCATGCAACAGCTCAGGAGATCTGGGGATGGTTTGCCAGAAAAGGCAATTTTGTGTTCTAATACACAGCAGATTTAATCACCACAATAGGAGCTTGTCTAACTCACTGCCCAGCCTCAAACACAAGGCCTCCATTATAAAACTAAAGGGATTGTTGCTACCGAATCATACCCAGCCAGTTACACTGGGGCCTCTCACCATGACAACATTAGTACATTGAGAGAGAGATTAAGGATGCTTTTTTAAAATAGCTTC